TAAATAATAATTCATTGGAAATATTTCTATTATTTCCAATGAACTCAAACTTATATTAATTGTTTTGTTTTAGTCTTTGATTTAATTGATTCTGTAGGTATAATCATAAATGTATGTCTGATTTTGAAATTATAGTTCCAGTGTTACCTATAATAAGTACTATATAAAAATTTTTCCTTTTGTAAATGAAATATTCCATAGAATTTAATGGTTTTTATAGTTCAAAAAAACAGTTTATTTTCTATACATTAAAACTCACAACAGTTCCATTTTTTCAGACGTTTCTAAGTTAAAATAAGAATTTAACTGGTGAAGTGAACAACTTTAGACTGCACCGACAACCTTTAGAACTGTTGTTTTATTTCTAACATTAGTTTTTCAAGACAATAAAATTTTCAATGTGTATATAAAGCACCTGTCAATTCAAGTAACTGTTGCAATGAGTTGTTTAGATTTTTCAAGATTGCATATAATTTAACACACTTTTATCTTAAACTAAAAATGTTAACACGAAATTGAACACAAAAATCAAAACAAATGAAATCAAATTACAAAACAGAAAACTGAATGAAAAACAAAATAACAAATTCTTCAATTTTCAAAAATACCAAATAAAATCAAGTTTACCTTTTTATTTTTTCTTACTGGTACTGGTTTTGGTGGCGATAATGGTTGTGGATTGTTACTAAAGCTAGGCACTCTGATTCTTTTACTCTATTTTATATTGATTGCGGTAATTTCATATCATGCAATGTTATTTTTTGTTTTATGTATTTTTTTTTTTTTTTGGAATTTTCATTATTAAATGATAGTAACGTTCAAAAACCAAATTAAGAAAAGTACAAAAAAAAAGAAAAAGTTAAACAGCCAATTCTATGAATATTAATCTAGCCGTGTGTATGTATGTATATATGATTTAAAGAAAATCGAATTGAGGGGGATTTTCAATAATTCAGGCATACATTAACTCTAACTTAGATCCTTTTCGTAAAAACAGTGCAGATCTGAAAAAATTAAGTTCAAAGAAATCTTTGTTTGATTTAAATATAGCTGCAGTTTTCGCACGTGCGCCTTTTGTAGCAGAAATTAGTTGATCTTGCAGTTTCGGTTTTTCGCCCGTATAATTTTAACTGAATTATCGAGAATTCAAAAGCTAATATAACATATATATATGCTTGCATATATCTAGAGTTTTTTTAATAATAATAAATAATAGTAATTCTTTATTTTAATCTTTATAAAACTGTTATAATAATATAATTTGAAAAATAAAAAAAAAACAAAAAAATAGTATAATAAAGCTGAAATAGCTACAGTTGTTCTATTTTCCACAGGAAAAGTGGCGGACGACCAACATAATCTAGGAAATTATTTAGAAATTTAAATTTAAAATGTTTTCTATTAGAACACGATAGCTATTTTTAAAAAAAATGGTTTAATGCAGTATTTCTTAAAATTGTAAGCGCTTTCTGAAGCAAGAAAAAAAAATAATTTTTTCTGTAGTTTTAAAAAAAAACTTAACACCAGTAGTTATTTATTTCTGGTGATCATGAAATTTTCTACAAGGTACTGAAATATAGATATGTTATTAATATAATATAATTTCGAAATTAAAATGTAGGTGTTCTACTTGTTACCGATTTGTTTCAAGTTAAAAAAAATGTACAAATTGTACATTTGTACATTTGTACATAGATCCGTACATATACATTTCTACCTCGAAGATGGTTCCAAACTGTTTTGATAGTGACAACTATCATGAACAATTGAATATGAAATGTTACTAAATCAAGAAAAAAAGAAATATATTCAAAGCTGTAAATTTGCGGTTACAGCTGCAATATTATATTGTTATACCCGTATAAACGTATGTGTGTTTGTTGACCCCAGAGATAACTCAAAAACTAATACATAATTTAAATTCAAAAAAAAAATTGTCACAAATGAATTTTTATAGCAAGCAAACATCATGTTATGCTTGCTGTTATGTTAAATAAAAGTCAATAAAATTTGCTTAAATTACAAAAAATGCCATTTTACAAAAATGGAACCAATATGGCAAAAGGGAAACCATTTAACCAAACGAAAAAAGGTTGAATATGAAACCAAATATTAGTTTCATTCAAAACTAGATAAGACGAGAAAAAATAGAGTTGACCTTGTCAACTCTGTGACACCCGTACGAAATTGTTATCCTATGTTCGAATAAAGATGCCATAACTGGGTATGGGACAGACTATGACATTAAGTTGCCCTATGTGTTTGCCATACTACTATTGAAGTTATATGGCAGCTACCAGAAAGAGCCAAGAAATTTTAACGAATTTTATCAAACCCATCGGCCTACTAATATATTTGCTTGTGTGAAATTTCAATACCACAGCTTTTATAATTTCTGAAATATTGCCAAATAACCTTTGAAGTTGCATGGCAGGTACCAGAAGGAGCCAAGTAATTTCAACGGCTTTTAACGGCCCTACTAATATATTCGTTTATGTGAAATTTTAATACCACAGCTTTTATATTTTCTGAGATATAGCCAAATAAATTTTAAAGCTGTATGGCAGCTACCCGAACCGGTACCTGATCATGTCCTATTTAAATAGGGTTCTGGCACTTACTACAATAAATCATTTGTGAAAATTTGGTGAACTTAGCTCAATTAGTTTTTGAGTTGTCGTTGGGACAGAGGGAAGGACGGACAAAGCTAAATCAACTCAGAATTTGACGCTGATCAAAAACATACATTTGAGTCTATATCTAAGACTGTTTGTGGTACGAACATACGTTCGTACGGGTATAAAGACTTATACAGTTCTGATTGATACTAATTGCGATTGGAAAAAGTGTATGCCTTATTTGACATAAAAAATATGTTAACATCTAAATATTATAATATGATATTTTGTAGCAACATTTTAAAATCTTCTAAAATTTTCTTCTTAAAAAATTCTATCGTGTTTTACTTGAAAATGTAGATATCATGTCTGATAGGAAACCTTTTAAAAAAATATATGCTTTTATTATTTTGCATTTTAAAAAAGTATAACTTCAGATGAACGTATAAAATTTCAGAAATGTGTATATAGTCTGAATCCAAATTGATATTCAAAATAATTTCTCTTCTGGCAATTTAAATTGCGTAGTTATTAACTTCATACCTTTAAGGAGACGCGCCTTTAAGAGAGACAGTAAATCTATTATGAAAAGTAGATTGTATAATGTGAACTAGCTCAATTAAAAATTTTGTTGAAGTGCTGCAAAAACACAGATCTATATATTTAATTCAGTGTATCTGAAAAAATTCGCAAAATCAAAATCTGCAGTTTCGAGTTGAAGTATGCAATATTTTTATTTTATTTCATTTTAAGTGTCTGTTTTCGGTTTTAAGTAACATTTTGTTACACTTGACGAGATTTTCATTATCGGTAACGGGTAGTGAAAGAAAGTGATTATGTTGGCTTAAAATCATTTTAGGATTATCAAAAGCTAATCACACTTAAAAATAATGGTGGCTTATAGAATTGGGAATATATAATCTATATATTATATAACAAGCTTCTTAACTAGAAAAAATTGAATTTTATTTCAGTTCTTGGCAATTGGTTCCTTGTTCTCATTCGCTTATAATGCTTGGTCACCCGTCGCATTCAGAAAATTATAAGCAATCAAAGTATTATAAAATCAAGAAAATCATATAAAATGTTTGGTACAATTTCCATGTAAATATAATAAATTAACCAATCTAAAATAATTTTAAGAGAGTAGTTTTTGAAAAGTAACTAAATTATTATGGTACAATGACAAAAGTAAAAATTATCTGTTTTTCAAAAAAGCGCCTTATGTCGAACTTTTTATGGTAGATACTTTGTGTTTCTTATCAAAAAGCTTTAAAAAAGTATTAGTTAACTTAATTAAAATATGATATTTGCTCTGCGTAAAGGCCTACTATTTGAGTTTTATCAAAATCAACTTAGACAAATTTTCCTTCTTACCACAAATAAATTTTGTATATTACGAGTATGTATTTCATATTTCTGTTCTAAACCAAATTTTGATTTATTTCTGCGTTATTTTGAGTTATTAAAAATTAAATTAAAAAAATTCTTTGTACTAATTCTTATTGTACCTTAAATTATGTACCTTATAACCATATATAAACACCATACAACACGCTATAATTTTTAAATATCATTAAACAATTTGTTCATGTCTTTAATGAATAAATTTATTATACGAATACATTTTGTTGAAAAAAAAATCACAAATTAAATTAAACAAATCAGAAATTTAATAAATTAAAAATTTAATTTCATGAGTAGTACACATACATAGGTATATAAAACTCACTGAATTTAACCCAAATTAAATCACAATACAAACAAAATAAATTAAATAATTTAATATTAAAAATCTATTCCCATATACATAGCTACATGCAATATTTAAAAAATAATATTCAATTATAATAGAATGAAATTTTGGGAAAAAAATATCATAGATTTTTTTTTGTTGTTATAAAATACTTATAAAAATTTAAAATTAATTATTTATAGCATGCAATTAATCATCTCCCATAAATTTTATTTTTTTTATCCATTTAATATTTTGCAAGTGAATAAATAATAAGAATGAAATATGAATTGGTACACAAGTCCTTGTACATATACTAATTATTATGATGTATTATTAAATTTTTAAATTTATGCTGATTACCATAATACTGAACAAATCCAAAAAGAAAGATAAGAACTATATATTATATAAATTTGCATGTAATTATGAATGTTTAATTTTTCATTTTTATTTCTAAAAATCAATATTATGCGTTTACCATAAATAATTTAAAAAAAAATTTGAATAGGAATACCATGAAATATGCGTATTTTTAATTTTTCAAATTCAAAAAAAAAAATATAATGCATATATATTCGTATACAAGGATAAATATTATAATATTTTTGTATGCAGATAATATTATAAATGTTTTGTTAAATTACCTTTATTGATGGTGGGCCACTTGAATGTGAATCATTATCAGCTAAAACAGATGGATTATTTTCATCAACAACAATAATTTCATAGTCACCATCTTGTATTGTACGTGATCCTGCAAAAATTTTCAATAATTTTATTTATTTTACTTTTTTTTTTCATTTTTGGTTTGCTATTAATTACTGATTTACGTTTTATTATTAAAAATTAGAAAATATTATTAAATGTATATGTAAGTAATAATAATAAATTTAAATGTTATATAGAATAAAAAAAACATTTTTATACTATTATTATAGTATAAATATGGTGTAATATAAGTATATAAGCATTATACATGTACATTTTTATAATATTTATATTTATATAAGTATATGTGTGTGTTTTGTACTTTCACATTATTGCGGCTTAATCTTCTTTTTTGAAGTATTTTCGATTTCGGATTCTTATTTTAAAAATTTAATAGAAGTAGAAATAAAATTTTAGAGAAAGGAATTTTATTTTTATCAAGTTCCGGAGAAAGGAAAATAAAAAAGATATCGACGCGTGTTCTTATGTAAGATATTGTGCTATACCATACATTTGCAAAGAATTACTCGTGCTAGTTAATAAATCAATTTCGAACAAAAATATTGTATAATTTTGTAAAATCGCTGAAATATTTCTCACAAAGTTTTAATGTTATAATAAACGGTTATTTTGAGGTTAGAGTTCGATGAAGACATGAAAATTACAATTAATTGCTGTTATTAATTAAAGTGCATTAATAATTGACATTTGAAATATTTTAAACATCTAAAATATTGCAGACAACACAACAAACTAGTATAAAAGTTTTAAAAAATCAAACATTTTAGCTATTGTAAAGCTTTGTACTATACATATTATAATTTTGGTTTTTTGTACATCTACACATAATTATATATATCTACATATATTCTGAAAAGATCCTACTTTTTATTTATTATAATTTTTATAATAATTTATAACAAATTTTTGAGAAAACTCAGAAACTTTTGATTGAAGCGGTTCCAAATGCAAAAAAAAAAGTGAAGAAAAAGTTTATGATTAAGTTTTCGAATTTTCTTTATTTGTTAAAGAATATTTTAAAATTATTTAATTCAAATGAATTACTGCTATACACAATACAGCAATATGAATTTATATAATAAAAGATTAACCCTATAACTATAAGGTAACTATAATATTTTATCATTTGAATAGCAAAGGTGAAACTTCTCTAAGATAATGTCCTTAACATTACAGAATATAGTCTTTATCATACAAAATTCGTGTTAAAGAGCATTACAAATTTAACTTTCGTGTACGAGAAATTTGCCTAATGGAAGTTACAAAGTATATTTATTTCGCCTATTCTTTACTTTTTGGAAAATTTTTACTATTAGAATATTTTATTTCTTTTAGAAATTTTTGAATTAACATCATATTTTGAAAAAAGCGTGAACTAAATTGATATTAAATTATGAGAATTAAGATTACTGTATAAAAAGAAGAATAAAAGTGTAGTACGAAGCACGTTATTCCTAAAATTTCTCGAAAAACAGAAATATAAATATTAGAAGATTATTTTTTTTTTAATTTTCAACCAAAATTGAAATTTACTAATATAAAACTAACAGTCTAATCGTGTATTTCGCCTTTTCATTTCACTTTTCATTTTATTTTTTTCCAATAAGATTACTCATTTTTAGACCTTTTCCAAAAACGTTCTGACAAAAAGTGTTTATTAGTTTCACTCTGCCCATCCGTCCGTGGACATGTTTAAAAAACTTAGATCTTTACTAGAAATTTATTTCCGTAGAAAATTTTTACCTGTCTCCCCCTTTAAAAGTTATACCCCTTTGAAACTCTAAAAACGGTATTCTTTAACTATTTATTGCAGTGAATTCAACTTTTGCAAACGCAGAAATATAGTGATTAATTTCTTCTATCGCGGCATACTACAAAAGGATTTTAAATAAAAGTTGGGTCAAGCCAATGGTTTGTATTGTAGCACTTTTCGCTTCAAGAAATGAAAATTCTGCTTTGAAAAATATTCTATGTATACCTCCACAAAATTATTTTCATTCATATACGAAACTATTTCTAGGATTACATATATTTAGGATGAACGATTTATGCAGTCTTTAATCTATCGCGGCATACTACAAAAGGATTTTAAATAAAAGTTGGGTCAAACCAATGGTTTGTATTGTAGCACTTTTCGCTTCAAGAAATGAAAATTCTGCTTTGAAAAATATTCTATGTATACCTCCACACTATTAAAATTATTTTCATTCATATACGAAACTATTTCTAGGATTACATATATATAGGATGAACGATTTCTGCAGTCTTTAAAATAAAGCAAAAATTAATATAAAGAGGGGTTAACATAATGCTCTATTTTAAGGGTTAATTGTGTGAGTTAAGAAAAATAATTATATTTTTTAACGTTATGGAATTTACCGTTGGCTTTTTGCGTTTATAGAAATTTGAAAAAGCTTCCGGTTTCGGAAATATAAGGTGTCAAGAAATGATAACTTGAGAGGGGGTGGAGATGGAAAAAAATTTTCTTCTAACGAAATGAAGCATTTATTAGTGTCTAAAAGCCCCTAATTTCAGACATTCAAAAATTCAGTTTGAATTTTTAGGAGACATTAGGCAGTAATGAATACTTCACTTCGTTAGAAGAAATTTTTTCCCATTTCCACCCCTCTAATAGGTACACATAGTAGGTATACATATATCTAGAAGGTATACATAGATTGTTTTTTTTTAAAAGCAGTATTTTCACTTGTTGAAGGGAAAAGTGCTACAATACATACCATTGATTTGACCCTAACTTTATTTAATTGGATTTTTGCTTTTTTTTTCTTAAATTATCGAATGAACGTAGAAAGTATGTGAGTAATTAAGAAAAACGTGAAAGCCGTGACTTGTATTGGATTTAACATTTTATTTTACTTACATTTAATTTTCTCAAATGTATAAAGAAAACTTTCTTTGCATGCTGATAAAAGCTCAAAATTTACTAACCTAACCTTCAATTTTTTATTTTTAATAAATTAAAACGTAAATTATACGTTTAGGCACAAGACCATCGTTTAAATTTTGTTGAGAAAAAATACTTGTAATTAATATGTAAAAGGACTCTAGTTATAATTAATGAAGTATATAATGCACCCAAATATATATCGAATACGAGTAGAATACTGTTTTCGGAAATAAAAAACATCTTTTGGAACTATACAGCATTTAAAAATACCCTATATGTCCACAGGTAGAGCTATCCATAGATACGAGAACTCATCCTATGTAAAGTGTACATTTATTACTTTAACTTTAGTTGCTCAGGATGGAAAAGAAATACGTATTCACTGATATCATAATTTCCAACTAATTAAGGTTAAGTTGCAGTTTTGTAGATTAAACAAAAAATTTATGTAGTTAGTATATAACCCATAGCATGTCCTTTAAATACATCTTTTACATTTCATGCTTAAGAAATGGATTTATAATCGAACTAAGATGTAAAGTAGATGAAATTAAATCTACCCTATTTGAAATTAGACGTAGGAATGCCGTCTTTTGTACAATTACAAATTGATATTTTCCATTATATTGTCGTATTTCAGTAGTTTTTTACGGATCTCATTGCATACAATAAGGGATGTCCATTTTTGGGTGCAAAGGCACTTCTCCATAGTAGCGAAGTGTAAATCGGCAAAAACGAATGAGATGAAAATTCAAACCCATATGTGCTTTGAATATGTCTTTACGACCTTTTTACGGACGTTTTACATTTTTGATAATTTTTAAGAAAGTATTCAACTGGTCAAGTTGAAATTTTATGTAAAAACTTCGATTGATAGTATGAAGAGTCACTTAACTTTTGAAAAAATCATGTGCCAGCAACTGCACCTTTTCTGGGTGTGAACAACTTAACTTTTAATTTAAATTTTTTCGCATATAAAGAGAAATAATCAACCAATTTTCTTGAATTTAATATTTAACTCCAGGGTGTAAAAGAATGCACTTATAAAGTTTTTAGGAATATAAGGGCTTAGAAACCGAACTAGGGACCGACTTTACATTTTTTATCATATCTAACAAACTGATTGACGAAATTTCTTGATATTTAAAAAATCATTCAGAATCGGCCAAATGCCAACTTCAAGGCAAGTGTTTTTGAAACTCTGCGCTTGTTTTTAAATATTATAAATGTTTAGCCAGAACTTCTTCAATATGATATTTCTTATATATATAATATAAAAGAAATAAGTTTATATAAGTTTTGTTAAATTAAAAATATTTATACACGCAAGCAAGAACTTATACACGCATTTCTGAATTGGAATCAATTGGTTAAATATATTGGCATTTCGGTAAAATAAGTGCAGAGTATTTAAACGCCCAAATAAAAATATATTTTTGATTTTCCACCTTTCTGCCCGTATATTTCGCCATCCCATATTTTATACCCACTTTTATAAGAATTCATTTCGGGCATTTCACTACTCATTTATATGTTTCAAAAATTTTTACATTATCAGCTATTAAATTCTCAAGCTAAAGTTCTAAGCACCGTAATATAATGGCTTAAAAGTAATTTTTTTCTCGATTTCATTTTAAAAATTTTTAATGACAATAAAATATTGTCAAGAGAATGGTAGATTGGGTTGAATTTTAATAATATTATATTATTCTATATGTATCTATATATAGCATTATGTATATGTAATGTTAATAAACGAAAATCAAAATTACTTGGTATATATTTACAAATGAAAGTAAATTAAGTATGTATTTAGTAATAAAATAATGAATATAGAAAAAAATTATATATGTATAAAATAATTTTGTTGGCTTTTGCAATATTATAATACGAGTATTCAGTTTAATTAAGAAAAAAATTTTTTTTAGATTCTATACATTTTTGTGCTGGTGGGCTTGAAAATTTGTTGAATAATATTATGTTAAAAATATAAGAAAGTAAAATTTAATAAACAATACTATAAATATCACAAATAATATTTAAATAAAATCATAATATATAAAATAAGCAAAGCAACATAAATCACGCAAAATGAAAATTTGATTTTATTGAATTTTCTTTTACTTTTCTTAACACAATCGTTTAATATTTTGTCTTTTCACTTTAAAAAATTAGAAAAGTTATCAAACATTTTATGTATATAGTTTACAAAATATAAGAGTTCAATAATATTGTAATTCGTTCTTTACAAAATATTTATTTTAAGATAATTTTTCTACCTCTAGAAAACAATTATTAATTTTCCAATTAATTTTTCATAAATTGATACAAAAATCAAATAATATTTCACATCGTCCTCCTCTCGGATTATTACCCTCTTCATGAGCATTATAAGCTCTATCAAACCAAAAATGTAACAGTAATCGGCTAAGTACCTGAACTAAATTAATTACTAATAAAGTTTAAGCTTAATGCATACTATATCAGCACAATTCCGATAATACTCTGAGATTTCTTCTAAAGTTATATTTAAAACTATATCGTTATATGAAAATTATTTTCATTATACTTAGACCTTATTAAACCTATTTACATAATTAAAACATTAAACTTAAAATTCTCGATAAGACGTGTGCTCAAATTCATTTACTAAATTTTAGAAGTTGTAATATTTTGCAATTTCTTAATTTTCAAAAAAAATATATGCATCAGTTTCACCTTGCCTTTTCACTCTGCATAATGCAGTTTACAAGACATCTTTTTATTCAATAGCTCATATTATGGATGACAATAAGTTTTAATACGTATATCAATCTTTGATAAGAAATCAAATTGAAATCAAAGCAATTTTTTAAACTTCAAAAATAGAGAAACTTTAAGATCGACTTGGTTCTTCTATGGCTATACAGTATATAAAACATCAAGATAGGAGAATGGCGTTGAAGTTAACGATTACAGTATCTCTCTTAACCGTTTGATTCCCTAATTCTTTGACACTTTAAATTTCCTCGTTATGTATGAGTACCTAAATTTAATTTATTTATTAACAATAAATAATGTTCAATATTAATGCTACTACAATATTTTTTGAAAGTAATTGCTTATAGATTTTTCCAAAACTTATGCTAAATTATATTGCAAGATTGCATTATATAGTAAGATAGCACAAGGTTTAAGATTGCATTAATAAACAGACTATTTTAAGGTATGATCACTCAAATTTTTGTACCTTGAAAATTCTGGCTTATATATTTTAGAGGAAATATCATACTTTACCTCAGAACACATTCCAAAATATATTACAACATTTCTCATGAAAATTCGATTCGAAATGGTGTTTCGATTTCCTATTGAACTTTGTATTTCGATTCTTTTTATTCTGGTTAAACACAAAATATTTTCACCCACGCGGATACTAAGATTCAAGAATAATTTTGTGCAGTGATGTTCTTTTGCTGTACGAACACCAGCAGTACACTGCACTTGCACGTAAATACACCGTTACTAGTTTAAGGAAACTTTCTTTTCTTTTTACTCATGATAAGATAAGTAACATTCATTCATATCTTTTTCCACAAATATTCATTATTATTTTATTTTTTTCAGAAAATTTTTAAATTTCAAACATTTTTTGCAATAAAATAATATGTTTGTATATTATTTTATTTGATTACGTCTCCCAGTAAATAGCTTTATTGAACTCTTTTATAATAAAATGTTTAAAAATAAAAATAGTACATAAATCCTTTGAACAAAATGAAAGAAAGTATTTCAAGAATTAATTTTGAAAAATCTAACAATAAATTAAATGAAAACAAAGACTTTTCAAAATATAAAAAAAGATAATAAAAAAAAGTAAAAACAGTGCACGAAAGGTAAAAAACATGACAATCAACATTATATAAAAGAAATAAAAAGAACACGTCAACAAAAGAAGTCATAATAAATATGAGATGAGTTTGATATCTCCTTAATTTAATTTCGATATTATAAAAACACGAATTTGAATGTTAATATTAATTATCAAATTGGCTTTTAAAAAAAATATAAGACGATTTTAAATGACGTTTATATCACATTTAAAAAAATAAAATTAGAAAACAAGGTTAAAGTTATACACAAAAATGTATTGGTTTTGTAAATATTTACAATGTTCAATAAAAAAAAAGGTTACTATTATTGCTTTAATTGAAAATGTTGGTAGGTGAATAATATTTTGGACTAAGGAAGTGCATTTTTAGAGTTTGAAACGATGGTTTTTATCATTTTTTAAAGTTCCTGTAAAAAAGTGCATTCAAATATGAGAATCTGCAGGACCGTGGAAGTTATAACTGGAAAGTTGCCATAATTTTCCGCGTATTTAAAAATTCAATTGTAAATTTTCTGCAAGTAGGCTCCTAGCAATAGTGTGTTAGTATGATGAAAAATCTCAATGGATGTTCTGTTGAAAATAAAGGGGTGACGTAGCAATATTTTTGAAAATCAACAGTTGTAATTTTTTTTGTTGCCTAATATGACCTTCTTTTTAAACAAAATGAATAACGATTGATGACAATATTTGAATTGTTAGTATTATAAAGAATTGTTAGTATTAATTAATAGTATTAATTTAATTCAATGTTAATTTTTTCGAAAAATGACAAGAAATAGATTTTCTCAGCCCATTTGCTTTTGACTGAGAAGTATCTGCTCAATACTGAATTTTCAAAAACACCTTTTGTGTATCACTTAAACCAAATTGCAGTAGTAATAGTAGATAAGTATAATCTAGCATTTGAATGTAAAATTAATTTTGCTTTCTAAAAATAAAAACTCTCCCCGAACTACACTTCTAATTTTAATTTTCGAATTATTCTGAGTATAAAGAATTATAATATCTAAATTGCAATAAAAAAATAACAAAAAAATTCAAATTTTATCGGAATTTGAGCAATAAATTATGAAAATTTATTTTAAATGTGTTGATTAATTAAAAACTTTTGAACGAACCGTGAACAGAAATTCCAAATAACTTTTCAATTTTATTTTAGAATCTAAACAAAAATATTATTTGAATATTTTTTAATGCAATCTGTATTACAAATTTCAAAATTATTAATTTTACTTTTGTTTCTTTTCTTTTTCATATTTTAAAAATAACAGTAGTGAAGTTTCTCGTATTCATATTTTAAAACAAACAATTAGTAACTTTTAATATCCTAATTAGCGATTTAATTAGTAATATCATAATCTCGTTTATACTAATTTTATTTTTTAAATATTATGTAATATTTATTTATGATTAGAATTCAAAAGAACATCAGTAATTATTGTAGAAAAAATGGGGCATACGAGACTAATAGACTCGTAATAGAAACTAATGGAAATTCACAAAACTACCAACATTTTTTTAATACATTTTTTTCTGGATTCAAGGTAACACAAAAAAAATCATAAACAAGTGTAATTCAAAAAAGAAAAATATTTTTTTTTTATATTTTACATTTTGTCTTTTGTTTTCTAAAATAAAACCAAAAACAAAACAAAATAAAAACACTACCTGATGTGCTATTCCTATAACGGTAACTACTATTAAGGCTGTTATTTTTTAATAAACCATTTCCATTAATACTGCCCCCGATATTACCACATCCATTTATAATTCCTCCACCACCATTAATACTACCGCCAATTGTACCTGTACTACTACTACCACTACTACCACCATTCCTATTACGTATATGAGATGATGTACCATTATGAATTATATGATTTGAGTCATTAAGAATTATTCCACCACCATTCATATTAATATTACCACCAATTCTACTATTATTTAAATCGATATTACCGATAACACCACCCCCACCACCACCACCACCATTACCACTATAACCATTTATATTATTTCCACCTCTCAAATAATAATTTGTATTGATATCATTCTGATAATTATTATGATTACTATGTAAATGATGATTGAATTGTGATCCATTATTTATACCATTTTTACCATTATTACCATTCGTCATGTTATTACCATTAATAATTGCATGATGATGATTTCCACCAATTATATTATTATTGCTATTATTTATAAGTTGATGCTGTTGTTGAATGTTATGTTGTTGATGTTGTTGTGGTGATGCTATCATACTACTGTTTGATGAATTTGTTGCTCCAGTATTATTTCCACTACTGTTCATTTGTTGCATATGTGGCGATGATAAATTTCCACCATTTCCATTTCCACTAATATATGGTGATTGATGGCTATTGTAATGATTATGATAATGTTGATAATTATTATATTGTTGCTGTTGTAATTGCTGTTGCTGTGAATTTTGATTACATGCTATTTGGTTTGAAATTTGCTGTTGTGACTGATGGAAATGTGATTGAGAATTTTGATTAATTATTCCAGCTGAAGGTCCTCCGATAGGTGTTGTTGCTGTTGATTGCGTATATTGATTTTGTGAACCAGGCAGAAATTGAGGGTAAACATGATGAGACCATTGTGGGAATAAAGGTCGTGAAGGTGGTTCTATATTTTTGTTGCCATTTTTTTTATAATTGGGATGTCAAAATTTGTTTGGCATTGTTTGTTTTTTTTTTTCGTAGACATTTAAATTAATTTGATTTTTATGGTGTTGCCACAATCGCATCATTTTTATTAAGTAGAATAACAAAAAACAAAAAACAAAGAGAAAAGACAGAAGGAACACAACGGAACAAAATAAAATTTTTTTTTTAATAATAATTGTGTTGGAAAAATAAAAACACAAAAAAAAAAAAAAACAAAAATCAAAACCGACAAAAAATGTTAAAAAAAAAACGGAAATACAAAATTTAATAGCAAAATTTTTTACGGGTGAACAAATGGATTTTATTAAATAAATTTTATGTAAAATGTATAAAATATATGTATACATAATATTAATATAAAATTTAATAATAAAAAGAACACCCATAACACAAATATTTCAAAATAAAAAAACAAACATAATTTTTCAAGTATTACATACAATTAAGAAAACCATAAAAATAAAATGAAACAAAAAATTATTAATATTAAATTAAAAAAGTTTTTTAACAAAAAATAAAAATTAAATATCGATAAAAAACAATAAATCAATTCCAACCATTTAATAAATTTCAATTATTTTTATAATTTTAGTACAAAAAACAAAAAATTTTAATTTAATAAAACAATAAAATTTACAGAATTAAAAAAATGTAACCAAATCCAAATATTTTCATTAATTCACAATATTTTTTTATATATGTATTTATAAAAAATATTTCATAAAGAATTTCATCCGAACAAAGCAGCGTGTAAATAAAAAAATTAAAATAATAATAAGAAAATTATAAAATAAAATAAAATAAAAAAAATATAAAAAAAAATTAAAAAAATGGGAAAAGAATTACAAAAATTGGTTAGCAATAATTTTCAAAAAAATTGGTCATAATTATTTTATATTGTTATTATTAATTTACTGTTAGTAATTTAATTCACAATAATTATTGTAAATAAAATAAATGTTTTATATATGTTTATAGTGCAGGAGGAAAACTATTAAATTCTATTTTGATATAAAAATAATTTTTGAACAAACAAAAAAAAATTTTTTTTATCAATTACGAAACTCAATTCCCATTTAATTTAATAGCGATACTTGTTTAGTAAAATACTTTATTCTATTATATAAAAGCGATATTTTTCTAATTAAAAAAAAATCTAAAGAAGCGATCACCATGTAAACTATAAAGTACAATGTTAGTAAAAAATATTAGTAAAAAAACTGTTAAAAAATGTAAAAAGCTTGAAGTACTAATGTACGTGTTATGAAAATTATCAGTTAATATTTTTGCTATTCATTATTTGCTAAATATTCTAATAAAACTGCCAAATATATAAAAAAAATTGTTTTTATAATTCAGAATGAATCGCAGTTATAATCAACATAGAGTAGTGAAAACTTTCAAAGTAAATTAGACTTCAAATAACGTTTTCCAAATGAACTGTAAAAAGAAAAAACTCACAACAACTACCGTTTCGTAGCACAAAACTGGCCGCTTTTATATTAAAACCGCAAAAATATTTATGCCCAAAATATCATTAGCAAGTTGTAAATTTATTTTTGTGGCAAAATTAATAGCGTGAAATTTTATGCAAAATCTCACATTGAAAAAAATTCAACTTAAATATTGAGTAAATTAATTTGAGGGATTATGAAACTTGGTTCAATATTCGACAAATATCTTTCAATATAAAAAACATAGACTTAGAACAATTATTTTGAAATTTTCTCAATAAATATTGTATAATGTTATAAACCTATGCTAAAATCGAAGTTAAAACTTAGAATTAAAATAATTTAAATATTTCAATAGAATTACAATACAAATTTCAGACTTAAGTAATTTTAAGTTTATAAATTACATAAGTGTAAAAATAAAACATGATTTACATTCCAGTTATAATAAAAACATATGCATACATCACTTGTACTGCAACATTACAATTTTTGTATAAATAATATTGTAATTAATAAGTGCTTCATATGATGAAACATGCATCACAGTTAAAAATTTATAATAATAAATACAAGCATATCCAATAATCCAAAGATAATAAAACAGAAATTACAATTAAGTTGAAAAGTTGTGCATTAAGCAAAGTATACGTAATATTAAACAATATGTATAATATTATTAAGTAATATGTATGTACATGTTTCATACATTCAAATATTATTGTTTCACAAAATAATGATGGAGAGGCAAAGAAATTTTCAAAACAGTCGCAATTCGAATCGAATTAGAAAAAAATCGCCTTCATCGTATTAATTAACAGTAAAACGCAATTTAACTAAATTATGTCAATTTCTCAATACATACAAACACCGACTAATCAAACAAAAACTGTTTAATAAACTTAAATTTTGCTAACTTTAAAAAAATACTCTTTTTAAAAAAAGTAAACTTCTCGATATCAAACTTCGTATCTCAATCGAATATTGTTATTTAACCTGAAAACTCCTAACTCAATATATTTTCAAATTTAATTTCAAGCTATTAGAAACCAAATAGAAAAATATGTATGTATGTATTTGTAAAAATACCCAATAGTGAAAGAAAAAAAGGATTCTCAAAAAGTGGTCCCAAATAATTACAAAATGAAATTTATTTACTAAATGCAAAATTAAAAATTTTAAGTTAAAAAAAATTATAATTCCCCCTTTTTTATATTTTGCTTAAAATTGTAATACTATACTAATGAGGTGCTTAAATTGGTGCAGTAAGTGCAATTTATATATCGAAATTGGTAATGTTTTGAGATTTGTTGTTATTTCAATCTTCTAATTTTAGCTTATTGTATATTAAAAGTCAAAGATCATAGAAAACATTCTTCTTTCTTATTGCTGACCGTTTAGCATTCTTTCTTCATAGAACTAAATTTTCTCGTAATTCCTTGTAATTTAAATTTGAAAAAAAAGATCGCACACAGTTATTATATGTATTTCCTTTTACAGAAAATTCGTACTTTACTATACATACATATATATTTCATAAATATGAAATTAACAAATGTAAATACATACAAATACCGAGTTATTACAATTCTAGTGTGAGCAACCTATTTTTTACTTAATACTTCCCTAATGTATTAATTTCCAAAAATTTATACGCGATATATAATTATTTAATAGTTTTTCTCCCTTTCTATAATATTTTTTCAATAAACTTGTTAAAAACAATAAAAAAAGTAATAAAAAAAGGTAAACATACTATCATTGGATTTGTTTTTTATCATTTAGGGAAACAAGGGGTGTAAAGGGTTGATATAAAGAAGTTTAAAAAATTGATTAACATTTTGCATTGAAAAATAATAGAAAAAGAGTTTAAAATTTTTTTTACCATAATGCAAACTGAATTTAGGAAAGGATCTACTCTTATTTTTCATATTTCCAATAGAAAAACATTAAAAAAATTTTAAATATAATAAGGACAACATTGGAAAGTTGTTTTTGATTTTTTTTTCCTCAAAACAAAACAAAAAAAAAAAACGTCAAAGTATATATGAATGTTTTTTTTTATAAACCGTTTTGTAAAAAAAAAAATAAATTAATTTATCTATGTATATTTAAAAGTTAAAAAAGTTAAATTAAAGGAACATGAGAAGTAACAAAAAACAGAAACGAAAAAAACAAGAATAGAATAAGTTTTCGTTCTTTTTTTATCGTTACTTTTATGCTTATACATAAATAATTATAATAAAATAGCATCAAATAATAAAAGAAATATGAATTGAAAAAATTACAAAAGATAAATAAATATGCTTACCTGTACCAGGATTTCTTTGCATTATCGGTGATTGCCTTGATATTTGCTGTGGTTCAGCTGGTGGCTCCAATATATCGCGATACTTTGATACCATTAATACCGAGATGAAATATACAATCGCTAATGACAGGAATTGGGCTTGTTTTGTTTCCTCCTGAAACAGTCGTTTCTTTTAAAATACATTTGATGATATCAATTAATAAAGCTTTCCCAGTTTTATATTGGGGATTTTGGGTGTTTTATTTTTATTATTAAAAAAAAATTTTTATTTTTATTGCTCTTACAACTAATTACTTTTTTTGTGCTTTGTTAAATATGTTACAAAATAATTTTTTTTTTACAAAATACAAAAATTAATTGCAAAATCAAAAATATTTTAATAATGAAATGAAAAATGTTAATGAAGTCAAAGTGATTAATTTTCTGATTTTTCTGATTCTGAAAGTGTTTCATTTAAATATTTATTAAAATTATATCCCATAGCACATACGCGTTAAAGGATTACTAAAGAAAAATTATAAGATACTGAAATAAGAACTTTGGTTTGTTAAACTTTAAAGTTTTTGTTTTCTATAATATATTCCATTAATAGAAATTCGAAATAGTAAATTTTTAAAAGAGATTTTTAACAGTATAAAATCACATTTAATTTTGTCAGGTATATTCTAAATTATATTCTAAACAAAAATTGTTATAATATACATATACCAGATTTAACATCTTTTGAACAGAAAGCATGTGGATAACCTTTTCTTCATTTATATCGTCAATGTTTGTAAAATTAACAGCATGTTACTGCACATAGAAAACGCGTAATTTTTTTTAACAAATTATTCGAAACACTTGCAAATCTAACTTTAATCTTTTATATTTTTTAACTTAATTATTTTAGACATTTCATTTTAAAAAAAATTTTTATTTATGGTAATGTATTGTGATTTGAATTAGCAAAATAAAATTATCTAAAGCATTTTTTTAAAATATGTGCATAATATAGAAACTTACATTTATTTTATTTACATTTTACACACATTGCTTAAATAAAATATCAAAAATATATCTTACCACGTCACGATATATGACAGCTCTCAATCTATTCACATCCATATCTTGTAATAATTTTTCAGGATCTTTAACAGGAGATAACTGACCTGTTATAGATTCCACAATATTCTGTGTAAATTCAATAAAATATACAAATAAAGAAATTGTTAACAAAAATTTATTAAAATTGAAGTAATAAATTTGAAAGAAAAAATTCATAAAGTATTGTTATTTTCAATTGTTTCAATTTTCAGCATTGATTACATTTCATATGCATGTACAATATATAGCTAGTTTCTAAATAAATTCATATTATGTTTGCTTGTATTTGAATCTTAATGAGAATTTCAAACTACCGATAAACCTATACGGAGCAAAATATACGCATTCCTTACAACTTTATTTTTTAATATTTCAATATATTATTTCAATAATCTTAATATATGTGAAATATGATAATAAGGACATTTTATATTGATAATAAATATCATATATAAATATAAGGAAAAAGAAAATTAATATAAAATCCCTGCATGGAAATAAAAACAAAAATCCATTATTTATGTCATTAGGGAATAGAATGAATATAAAAAAAAATTGTTTGTGTTCTTTATTCATGGCATGAAGAAAACTCTTTAAAATAACTTGTTTTCTTATTTAAAATAAAAATATAAAATATTATATGAATCCCACACAAAAATAATAATAATAACAATAATAGTAAATAAAGTTATTATCCTGTCCCATATTTTTATAAAAAAAAATTGAATTTTTTTTACTATAAAAGTTTGCAGCAGTTTATGCATTTTATATTCAAACAACACTTATGAAGAAGTTTTTATCATCATTTTTAAAATTATAAGGAAAAAATTGTATCTACTTAAGTATACATATATACATTTAAATAAAATATAGGGTGATTTTAGAAGTTGAAATACAATAGTAAAATAAAGAAAAGAAATCCATTCTATTGAGATGATCTAAAATTAATGAAAAGAATTCCTATTAAATTAATTGAATTCAAATTAAATATATTTTGAGTTTTATGTAGTCTATAGAAAGCACTTTATATGAAATTCAAAGAACTTTTTGCCATTAAGACGAAATTTTAGAAATTGATTGCATTGAATCCAAACCTTCATAAATCCCAATATTAAAACGTTTCTATCGCAATTGAAGATCATAATAAAATTTTAATACTTCAACTTTTTCAAAATTTGCCAAATTAAGTGATTGACGTGATGGAAACGATTGTTAAATCTTTGATATACTGGGAAACGATTACAAATAAACCTTTTATATAGCAAGAGTAAAATTTACTATAAAATCACAAAATACATATTTTATAATTTTTTATTTAAACTCTTTTTACAAGCGCTTTCTGTTTTAAATGATCATAGGTTATGAGGTGAAAATATACAGAAAATACTATTTCATAATTTTTTGAAAAGTTTTGTTTTAAAATGTGTAGTGTTCATGGTAAAATTTTATATTATAATATTCAAAGAAAAGAAACACGTTTTTAAAATAAATATTTTTTATATTTTATGACTGCTCCCCTGTACACAAGGTATTATATTGTAGATTATTATCTTTGTATTTTATCTACAAAATATATGTATTTTATATCTTATATTTGAATATAATAAAGAATGAAAAAAAGTATACATATAAAAATATAAATATGAATGTATATAAATATTTAAAAATGCATATAATATATGTATATTATATAATAAATGCATATATATATATATATTATATATATATGCACACATTTATATATCACAAGAAGAATAATTGTCTTACCTTAGGTGATGCTTGAGCACCACGTATAAGTGCTTGTAAATGAGCTGCACCGGGTACATCACGTGCAACTATACCACCACCATTATTATATCTAGTCCTTTCTTTACATTCCAAACAATTTCTAACCGCACAAGTGCAAACGAGACGAAGGCATTGTCTTAATATACCACCACTTGACATATTTTTTTCAGCTTCTAATTCACCAAAGTTAAGTGATGTTGCAAATATAAGTACATCTGCCATATTAACTAAACGTTGTAGAAATGATACAGCCACTTCTAATGGCATACCTTGCGTTGGTTCTAAAACATCCAATTCCGACTATTGTATTTCATATTATATATGTATAACATATTAGATACAATGAGAGAAAACAAATGAAACAGAAGAACATCCCATATAAAGTAAAATGTAATCCATCCAAATATTCATTATTTATAACACGAAATCCAAGTGCACATATCCAATTTTGGTTAGTTGATGTTGGTTGTTTACAATTTGGTTTCACCATTTTCATTTTCGGTTCATTAATTTGCACAAGAAGAGAAAAAGTAAAAAAAAAAAATGAAAAGTTTAAGAAAATTTCCATTTATGCATATGCATGTATGAATTTGCATAAGGCAACGTAAAATTTATTATTTGTTTCATTTTGTATATTAATTGAAAATGAAAAGAAAAGTAAAGGATAATTGAAGAAACAAACTGAATGCACTGATACCAGGTTGTTTTTTTTACAATTCAAGTAGTGTAGAAGAGGTTTTTTGTTCTTTATAGTACTTATGTATATTGTTGCTTATGTATATGGGCTGCGTAAAATAATTATAATGTGTTTTTGATTTAGAATATAAGGCTTAGCATATAAGATTGCAAATAAAATCTTTGTTATCCTATTGAGAGCTGATATATTGTAGAGTATTTCTAGGAAGTCACTTAAAAATTCGATTTAACTTAATAGAAGTTACTTTAATGAACAGGAATTTAACTAAAACGTCTTTTGAATAAAAATATTTCGAAACAATGTTCTTATAATTTTTTGTTTGTATTTCTGTTTAAATGTTAGAAAATGTTTATAAAATCTCAAATTGTAAAATTTCAATGTTGTATACACAGAATGTTTTTACTCTTTTCTGATCTCTTTAACTTTCTGTACCTCAAAATCTCATTTACTTGAAGAATGCCATTCTGACTTAATAGTTTTGACCAGTTTTTTTTTAAATTTAAAAGTTAACTAAGTACCTACTTAGTTTAATTATCAGAATAATTGTATTTATTTCGTTATAAAAGCTAAACTATTCCTTTTAAAATCATAATCAATATATGAACAAATCTAAATTTGAAATTCAATTTGAATTAAATTAGTCTTTCAAAGCGTGTACTTATTTTCTATATATCTTATGAAAGTTTAATAAAGAATATTTACATAATAATGTTACATATATTTATACCCATACGTTTTTATATAATTGAAAATTAAATTTATAAAATAAGATTTAAAATGTTTTTAGTTTATTTGAAATAAAATTCGTCGAAAATAACTTTTTTTCCATAACTATAAAACTTTGTTTATTTCGATGAGTTGATTAAAATTTTTAAGTTTAATCAACCAACCACCTGCTTCTAATATAAACTTTACTAAAAGGTTATATACAAATCAAAAATTAACTATGAGTACAACTACAAATGCTATAACGTATGTATATGAAAATAATTTTATAAAATTATTTTCGTTGTTTTTTGGTTTCGCGTTACCACAATTAGAAGAAACCGTTTAATAAAAACAAATTTGAAAATATAAGAAAATCTCAATGAAAATAACTTTTTCATAGAAAATTCAGAATTTAAAACATAATTTTACTTTAAAAAATTTAATTAGGTATTTATTATGTACTCGGTTTTATTTCTTTAAGGAAAATAGCTTTAATTTGCTGTTGTTTTTGAAATCCAAAACAAAAAAAACAAAATTGTTGTTTTTTTTTATTAAATGTTTTGGTTTTAAAATTTCAGGCAACTTTGGGAGCTATTTTTTCCATCTTACAAATTTTAATAATTTAAAATTTATAACTGGATTTTACATTACTTGGAGGCATATAAAAATTTATAAAAAGGACTGAAAATAAACGTTGATTTTAAAAATTATTTATTTATATACCAACAAGTTTCTTCATAAAATTCATTTTCAAAACTTTCATTTGTATTTTATATATTAGTTTGGTTTCTTAATGGCCAATGTTGTTTTTTACAATACTTCCGCATTGTGCAGTTCCACGTCGATTTTTAAAATATAGCATTCATTGAATTCTAAACTAATTTTTCGTAAAAATTTGCAATGGTTTTAATATTTCCAGTTTCTTATTTCTATTATAAATCACATTATGGTCAAGGTTATATAATGAATTTCTCCATTTTTAGATCCATTTTTACCAATCCAATTGACTTTTAGCTTTCACATTTAGTCCTTTTACAATCTAATATAAATACTCTTTCTTTTTTATCAGTATACCTATCTCAATAGTTCATCGTTTATACAAATCTAGTTTATTTACTAATTCAAACGCAGTGTATTAAATTGTGCTTTATTTGCACAATGTAGCCCATTTTAATTTTAACATTAATAGTTTTATAAAAAATTCTACCTACATCTATAATTCTACATCTATAATGTTGAATTCAGTACAAATTATATTTTAAAATATAATCGCATATCTAATTTCCTAAGTAATTATCATATGGAGTACTCAAAAATTCTTTATTGATTCAAAATAAATGTAATAAAATACTATTATTAAAATGATAGAGCTTCGTAAAATTCTAAAAATATTATAAATTCAACAAATATTGTCTGAATTTTAACAAAGGGATCTATTGTTATAATTTTGAATAATTTCAAATTAATTAGAAATTGAATATTTTTAAGAGTTTAAAACTTAAAATTCCTAACAAATAAATAGAAGTTAGGTATACATACACATATGTAAATATCAGTAAGTAAGAAGTTTTATATTTATGTAACATCCGGCTGATAATACTTACTTAATACCTGCTTAGTATATATAAGTACATATCCTGTTAAATCTTAAGAATTTTCGTATTAAAATGAACAAAAATTAATTATTACGTACTAGTTATTTGTTTTATACACCAGTTGTGTATGTGAAGGATTTTTTATTTATTAAGGTTGGAAAATGATTTTATGAACAGTTATTTTTGTTTGTGATTTGCGTATTGTTTTTTTTAAATACAGAATGCGAAGTTTATCAACGTCTGTTCTATATAGGTATGCAGTATAACAATATTATGTGTGTTCGAAAAAGTCTGATCAATATTTTGAAATTCAAAAAACTTAATTATAGTAATTAATTCAAATATGATTTTATCCGACAATATCAAATTTCATCCTTTATAACAATTCTCACACGTATACATTTATGTACGTATTTTTAAATGAGTATTTATATAAAATATGAAATTAATTTTTTACAATTATTTAAATTTTCACTTAATTCATTATAAATTTAAAATTTTATTTGATTTATTAATGTAGGTATAAATAAATCAATTAATGAAATTACAACCACAATTTCCACTAGAATATTTAAAATTATTTCAATAATAAATTTGAAATTTATTCAACCGAAGAGCAAAAGAAACCGAAAAGACTATTGAAAAAAAATATAACAGAAAAAAAAAGATGGGAAAACAAAAATAATGAGAAATAAAAGCAGGAAGGAATAAAAATGGAGTTGATTTTTTAATTAAATTTAATTTTTCGATGAATATTTAATTTTGAATTTTTATTTTCTTTCATATTAAAAGTAATTTATTATCAATTTTACTGAAATTAAAATACACAAACTTATAAACTTATATTTTTTTATTTAATCTTTATAATTACGAGTATAAAAGTCGAAATAATTTTGCTACAATGGGTTAAATAAATTTTGACACTCGACTCACTGACAACTTAAATTACTTAGTTATTGACTCATTCTGTAGAAAACACACCAGAAAGAAGCAATAAACTGTTGGAATACATACATACATATATATGTAATAAATCATATTCATAAATATTGTTGCAATGGAATTAGATTCAAAATATATATGTAACTAAAAAAATTTAACTCCTTTGTCGCATAACCAATTAATTTGTATTAAGTTTTTGTTCAAATTTAATTTTTTTTTAATTTAATATTGCAGTGGTATAGTGTTTCTAGTTAGCTAGATATTAATTCTCTAAAAAAATAATAATAGAAAATTACTAAATATTTGGACATTTCTATATTATTATAATTTGTAACTTATATAAAAATTCTAGTTAATTAAGATAACCTCTTTGTTGAAAGTTTTTTGAAATCTCTTTATAAAGAAATAAAAAAATAAAACATACATTTATAAATTAAAAGACCTTCTTATCCGCGAGCAATGCCCTTTTTCTTTAGTTTAATTTTCTTAAAAAACTCTTTTATATTTTTTATATGATATTTATTTACTTACATTAGGTGATGTTGCACTAGCTAACAACGGTAATAAGCCACCACAGGCAATAATTAAATTATCTGCTAATTGTGATATTAGATGTACTGTATTTACAACAAAAATTGCATTTTCACTTGAATTAACAAAATCTAGAACACTTTTCGTTGAATGACTTCGCCATACTTGAATGTCAGTTTCCAAACTAAACAAAACATCAGATAAAAGACGTTGATGAATATAAGACCATTTAAACTCTGGTATACGAAATGGTGGTCTTGTAGGCCCTGGACTGAACATTGGCCTTGTTGAACCAGATTTAGTTCGTTTATGTTCTGAAAAATAAAATAAAAGTGAGTATGTATATATAAACAATATTAAAAAATTAAGCGAATTGTAAAATTAAACATTAAATTCATTACATATAAACGTATACGAGTATATTATAATTAAATAAAATTTTTAAATTGAGAACCCCGTAAAGGTTAATATCTATGTGTAAATACATAAGTGTCTATTTTTAGTATGACCTAAAATGTACTTGCGCTGTATGTTATAGGCGAACCTCCATTTATTTCATATTATGCTTAACTTATTTTATATTGTGCTGAGGGTTTCTGTACAAAAAAAAACTCAAGCTTTTTAAGAAAAACTATGATAGATTTAAAAATAGAAAAATATCGTACTATCATATTACACAAGGATATTAACACAAAAGAAAAATTTATTTTATTACAATTTATTTAAACAATTTATTTTGTTTAAAACTACGATCAAATGGAACAAAAATTTATAATTGAAATTATTTTCTGACTTTACTATTACTTAAGCATATTTAAAATATACTATAACGTAATAAATACTAAAAATATAATTACCGAAGTGATTATTCTCGACTTGAGTACTCGCACTTTGTGATCGCTTAGGTTGACTGTATCGCGGTTCTTCTATCATCATATTTCCACCTTCAATACTTTTATGTGATTCTGTTGGAAGCACATCTGACTCTTGTGTATCAACTGGACTAATACATGTCATTTCTTCTGGGATATTTTGGATTACCTCAGTTCCTGTTATTTTTTCATTTTCCTCTTCTTCTTCTTCCAACTGTTTGTTATTATTATTTGTTATTGTTGATTCTTCAGGAATTGATTTCGCTGAATCATCAGCAACACAATTGTCAGCAATTTCATAAACGATTGATTTTGCAAAACTTTCATTAAGATCAGTTTTGATAATATCAGCTTGATTAGCTGCCGTATCGATTACATTATCAACAACATTTTTAATATTTTCTACAACTTCCTCAACAGTAGGAATTTCATCGGAATTATACTGTATTTCATCACTACTCGTTTTTGAAAGTTCATCATTCATAAAATCAGGTTTAGTTGAATTGTTGTCACTGTTATTGTTATTTAGATTGTCATTATGAATTTCAGTTTGTTTACAATTATAACTATTATTGGCATCTAATGTTTCTGGTGCTATTACTGGTGAAGTGGCTTTTTCTATACTGTCATCAATGACTTTGTTAACAATTTCACTTACAATTTCTTTAATTTCGTCGGCTGGCTTAATTGAACTAATATCACTAATTATTGAACTTGATTCAGTTTTTGTTTCTGTTTCTGTGTTTGTTGATGTAGTGTTACTATTAAGACTAATTTCGATGCTACTATCAATATCATTATTATTATTAATATTATTATTATTAAGATTATTTAAATTATTTGTTATTATTGCACTTGATAACAGTAAATCAGTCTTTTGATTATCAATGATTTCTTTATCTACAGTTGCATCATCACTCCTTGTTGTTGTCTTATTTGATGTGGTTGTCGTGGTAATATCACTACTATTGTTATTGTCAACATCTGCTGTTGACATTTTTATCGTGTCAGAAGTTTTCGTACTCGATTCTGTATCTTTTTCTGTAATTTTACCAGTTCCTTCTATTTCATTTAATGTTATAGGTTTTTTATCACTTTTTAGAACACCTTGAACAACTTCGTTAACAGCTAGTTCTATTTCTTCATCTTTTATTACAGGTGAAGTCGATGTTGCTTGGTTTTCGATTACGCATACGTCGTGTGTTTCTTTACATTCATCTAATAATTTTTCAGACTTTTCTATAATTTCCTCAACAATTTCCTTCATTTCTTCGTCACTAATTTTCTCTTTTAAATTTTCCAAGTTCTCCTCCGTATCGTCCTCTACTTCCAATACCTGACGTAAAGCTTGCTCCCCACTTGATATAAGTGCGACCTTAGCTGGTGATTTTTCATCTTCGGTTGTGTTACCACTATCTGATGTAGTTGTATTACCTTTTTTAAACATGAAAAGCAATATAATAAAATTATATGATGAAATAGAGCACAACTTACCGTTACAAACTACTTCTCCTTTAATCTGGGCATTAAAAACATCAGTAATATTTGCTACACAGGATTTGTTTTTATTTTCAATTATTTCCGTGGGGTTTTGTACCTTGGAATTAATTTCGACTGTAGAGCTTTCATTGTTCTCGTCATCGCATGCACATTTCAAATTTTCCAAATTTATTTCCTCTTCATTAACTTGCTCATTTTTGTTAACTCTGCCAACAGGCGTTTTTGGTGATGATGAATTACTAGTTTGTTGTTCTTGTTGATGTCGCTGAAGTGACTGTATTCGTTTGTGATTTGAACCTAATTGAACATTTTTATTACTATCACTCGTTCTATCATCTTCCTCTATATTAACAGATGACGATGAATCTACCGTCACCCCGTTATTTAAACTATTTTCTATATTCGTAGGCACAACTTGATTTGTTATATTTTGCTGTTGTTGAGGAGGCATTTGTTGCTGTTGAAGAGGCTCGTCACGTTCGCGCTCCCAGCCACTTATTGTGCTAATCGGCCTTGCTTGCCGTAAAGCTGGATCCGTTATATTATCAGTTCTTTGCCTTTCGTAATGTTCATACATTTGAGCGAATTGAAGTTTAAATTCTTCATATGAAACTTTTGAATGAACAATAGCTAAAGTATCGACCCACACTCTCCATCCACCATATTCGTATTTTATGGCATGGTGTAATAGCATACGAAATAAAGAATAAACCATATCCGAAATTTTTTGTTCCTCCGTATTTTTAGGATGAATATAAGCCATTGCTATTAGCCATTCTTGCCATACGGACATTTGTAATACTGTACGACGATTTTCTCGATTACTATTGCATAATAAAGTCATATCTGATAGGAATAGTTTTTTAACTTCAATTAATTGCTCAGTTTGTTTTGACTGACGAATTAGCGTAGCAACGACTTTTAAAATCACTAGGGGGGAAATATTTTAAAAAAATTATTATAATTTTATTAACTTTTAATGTAAATAATTTATTCAATTTTGGTTTTATAAAAGTATACTCGTATATATTATATATTGCTACAAAATTCCTTAAGTCGAAATAGCAAAAGTTTATCTTCAACAAAAAGGTTGGTGAGTTCTGGCAAACTATTTAATAATCAAAGTGCTTAAAAAATGCCACATCTACATACTTGGAACCTATTACAATCATGCCTGTTGTATAGATACAACATTTACCCATTTACTTCACTTGTGCTAATGGAAATTAAAAGAAATCCAAAATATAGAAAAAACAAAAGTACCTGTAATAGTTTTACGAAAGTAAAATGTATTTTAAACTAGAAACCATTTGCTTTTTATTTTAAAATGGAATCATTAATATAAAAGTTTGCAAAACTTTTAAATAACGTTATTGTGTAGATTTTTTTAACTTAAATTTTTTCCACTAAATTAACTTAATGAGTATAATTAAAAAATGTGCTTGAAAGTTTTGTATTTAGTATTTCGTTGTGAACTACCTACTTACTTAGGACCTTTTCAATTATCATTAAAAGGACTTTCTTTTATGTACACAAAACAAAAAAAGTTTTTCTTTTAACGTACATATTTTATTACCCTTCTGTAAAGAGTTTACAGTATACAAAATTTAAGTACGCGGAACACATTCAAAGTTAAATTTTTTATGAAAAAGGAGTACTTTTACCAAAGGTTAATTTTTTTGTTAAAGAATATTTAATTTCTAATTTAATTAAAATAGTAAAAGTCAACTTGAAATCTAAAAGTAACAATTTTACGTATTTTTCTCTATAAAAATTAGAAATATGTATTTAGTTCTAAAAATTTTTTTTACATTGATTGGGCTATCATTAAATAACATTGTCCACTATAACAAATTGTGAAACCGTATCGTAATTTTTTCAGGCTAAACGTATGTAAAGAAGTGGCAAATATCTGTATTTGAACATGTCAAACATTTACAACTAAACTGTTGTGCAGAATTCTGAAAATTGCAATTAAATAATATTTCTACTTCTTGTACAAGTTCTACAAGTTTTCTGGGAAACGATTAGTTAAGAAACCTAACAAAATTTTTTTCCTCGAATTTATTTTATGAAATCTGATTTCCCCAAAAAAGGTTTTAGTTTCGTTGATTAACAGGGCACTAATCTCGAATTTCGAAATTAAAAAATGGAAAGAGAACTATAGGCTGCCCTACATTTTTTGCTTTTTAAACAAAAAAAGGAAATAAAAATTAATGCAGGTTCGTAAAAATTTGGTATTCCTCCTACATAGTTAGCAAATAAAATTATGTTCAATTTAAGATTTTTAATTTAACGAAAACAAATTATATTCCATCAACGTATAACAACAACGTAACACTTTTTGCTAAAAAAATCGCATCTCTTTTTTGCTATGATCGCAGAATTCAGAATATAGAAATATATAACAGAATAACAGAAATATTTAGTGCTTGAAATTTAAGTATTAATTAATATATTAACTTAAAAAAGGTTTAAACATAAAAGAAAATATTAAAAATTTTCCTGCGATGAAATTGGTGAGAAATAATATAAGAGTAAGAGTGTAAAAGGAATGATAATGTATTGCCAACTAATAATGGCAATATATGGGTGAGGAAAAGAAAATGTAAAAAAAATTATTTTAGTTGTGCCATATTGTGAATTATGATAGAATAATGAATTATTTAATATTTTTATTATTATAACTGGCAGTGAGCTACTGCCAATCGATTTAATTGTTTTTCCAAATTTTATAGTGTTTATAACAAAATTTTTCTATAATAATTTGCGATCTAAATTTCTCAAAATTTTCTTAAAAATATTTTTGCTTACATACATACTAACATATAAATTTACATATATACCTACGTAGTTTCTACATATAATTAGAAAATTAAACGTTTTCTGTACTTTATATGTCTACATAATTTCTAATTCACATTGTGTACTTACTTGGATTCTCCAATCTGTAATGGCTTTCGGGTTCCGGATGCCTTGTGTATAAAATTTGTTGGGAAATGTGCTCGGTCATAATTTCATATAAAACATTGTACGTTGGTAACGATAATGATTCTTCGTACATTAATAAACGTTCAGCTAATAATGTATATAAATTATGGGGTGACATAACATCGTATTTTCGCCTGATAAATTATACGAAATAATAAACATAATTCAATTTCATTTGTCTTTAAATACAATTGATTGCTTAGATGAAAAATTATTTGTTATAATTGATTTTAATATAATTTGTTATTATTTAATTTGAAATTTATTTAAATAAAATGTATAACTTACTTATGTGTACTACGCGATAAAAAGAATCCTAATAATTTTAACCCTTGTAATCTAATTAATTGACTTTCGGCAGCCAATAATTTAAATATTGATCTAACACCATGTTTAACATCAAAAGCAGGTACCATTGAACTTGGATTTTCTGACATTAATGATATTAACATTTGTAAAACATCATGTAAATTTTCATCTTCATGCATTGTGGTTAAATAATTCAAAATGCTTTGCAATTCATCCTCTTTAACACCATTTCCGATCATAATTAATTGTTTTAAAAATAACAATATGTAAGCACGTATTGCTAAAATATCTTTTTGTGCTGGACGTGGGCCATCTGTAAAGTATATAATATTTATATAACCAATACAATATGTTACTTCTCTTTCATTTTGTTCGAACTTAATAAATACCATTTAAAGTAATTATTTAAGCCAACTAACGAAATTTAGTGAGAGATTTGAAATGTAGAGATTTAGGGAAAACTTTTTTAACTATTTATTGTAGCGAAACCATAGGCATTTTAATGTATTTATTAATTAATATATTGTTTTTAAAAGCGATATTTTCATTTGTTGAAGGGAAAAGTGCTAGATTACAAACCAATAGTTTGATTTAACTTTATTTTTTTATGTTCTTGTTATTTATTTAGCAGTTACAAAATTTAGAAAAAGTGATCAAAAGTGTTCCGAATTCGATGTTCCAATTCAATTTTTAAGCACTTTCTTTAATGTTTTGAAAAGATTTCAATAAGGGAATTTTCGATAACTCCAACACGTACTTAAAGTTCCAACATAAATCTTAAAATTTTTTTTATATCTAATACCTGTGCTTAAAATTCTTTTCTTTTTGTATATTTCATTTTTTCAAATTCATAATTTTTCCAACATTCAATACTTTTCTGTTTACATGATTCTTTTACATGATTTAAAATATTAAAAAATTATTAAAGCAATTTTCGAACACACTTCATTTGAAGATTATCCATTTTTGATTTTTCTTTTTTGACTCTATGTTAAAATTTTATTTAGAACTCGATTATCGAAAAGTTTTCTTTATGAAAAATTGTATAAATATATAAAAATTTTATAAATTTTCTTACCTAATCCTTTTGGTATTATACCACTTTTAGCTCGAGGATTCACAACCCAATAATAATATTTTAATGTATGCACGGTTTGTAAAACAGTACTAACACGTCTAACATTACTGTAAATTTGTGTATCACTTAGAAATTCAGTTGCCAAATATGAATATAATCTAGCTTGGACATTTGCTGGTGTATAAATCCATAATGAAGGATTAAATAGTACATGATCCAGTAGCTGCCATGTTAAAAATGAAAAACAAAAAAGCTATCCATTAGACGTGTTACACATCTGTCCTGCTACAAGCCGATTTATATATTTTTTTTTTTTTGTTAATAATTATATTTTCTTTTGGCATGCAGCAAGCACAGTTATATAATAATAAAAAATACTTAAAAAATAAGAAATTAGAATGCACAGAATAAAAAAAACAAAACATTTAAGTTTTAATTAAGAACTTTTTTTTATTATAATATAAAAAACTATTAAAACTTTGAAAAAAATAGAAAGCATGAATATAAATTTTATGTAATTACTTTTACATCAGTATACATAAGTACATAATGTAAATATACATACAATTATACATCATACTAACTCATCGATAGTATGCATGTATAAAAATAATTGTATATAATATATAAATAGTTTGCATATATGTTTTACGTAATATTATATATGTACGTATTTAAATTGTTTATAACAAAATGAAGAAATTAAATTATTTTTATAAAATTCGAATAAAAAAAAAACCAAAAGTGAATATCAATTTTTGTCATTTTAATTTTTTATGTAAATGAATAATGACGACTGAATTAAATTAATTAAAAAGTTTATAAAAGTTATATACATTTTTTATATGTATGTGTGTTTTATTTATTATACATAAAGAGATCCTTATTATAGACTGTAAGCGAATCAAAACTAATCGAATAAAACAATTTTCCTAAAATTATACCGAAAGTATATCGTGTATTCTAAATTTTAATGCATGACTTCCTGATATTAAAATTAAATAAATTAAAAAATTATTAAAAAATTGATTTTTCAATAGAATATGACACAATTTTGACAATTTTTCTATTTGAACGATGATGGTGTTGAATATTGATGAAGAAAATACAAAAATTTATACAGGATGTTAATGATTTATAATAGATAAAAACATATTTTTTTTTTAAAATCACGTAGTAAAAATATCATTTTATGTAAATTTTAAAAATTTAATGTTTATTCAATAACCGAAAGAGATTATAAAAGTCAATTCGATGACTCTAAAAATGTAAGGTGGAACATGGTGTCAACAATGTAATTGCGTATACTAGAAAATTTTTTTTTATTAAAAGATGTTTTGTTTTATGCAAATGAATACGTAAGATCTTTTTTAATAATAATCATAATTGATATCGCAATTGTTGATAAAAATTATAAATATACGATGTGAAAAATTATAAAAAAAGGATCAACAGAATTAAATAAAATATCTGCCAAATTATAATGAATTAAATGAAGTATCTGCCAAATTATTTTATCAACTTATATCTAGTAAATATATACGAGTATAACTCATTCGCGGTTCATTCCATAGCAAAATAACAATCACTTGCACATTTATTCTATGTATTTTGTTTTATATTTTATGTACACTACCATATGTACCAATTCTATTTGTATTGAAATAGTAATAAAATCGCTTTTAAGTTGCTAATAATTTTTCATCAGTGAAATTTTGAATAAACGATGGAAAGATTTTTTCAAAAATGTTCCTTGTTGGATGATTTTTTTTTTTCAATTATTTTCTGGATTTGCGACTAAGAACATTTCAAATAATATATCAAGTTCCAGATTACAATAAAAGTTTGATATAGGAACGAGAAAATTTAATAAAAATTTGAGCAAAAACCTAATATCAATTAAATACACAGAAACCACTAATTATTTTACTATATGATAAAGAATTATTCAATTAAAATCAATATTGAAAAACTAAAAGAATGTTATTTCAAAAATTTTATCAGAATCGTATACTTGATTTGATATTCTATTATTTTATTTTTCTTTTCATATCTTTTTATGATTTTAACAGGTTATGAAAGCAAGAAATAATAAAATGCTGTCGAAATTTATTTCTGAATTTATGATAAAATTTTTAGCTTACAAAATAACAATAATTGCAACATCTTCGATTTGGAACATTTGATTATGAGCAAGTAAAGTAGTTAAACCTGTAGATGTATACCATAGTCGTACATTAAGAAACATTGTTACTATATACATAGATGAACCAAATTTATAATCAACTAAATTTTATACAATTCTTATAAAATTCTGATACATATGTTTGTTGTGCAGTTACTATTTAATTTTGTAGTAACCTTTCCAAAACAATTAAAAATTCTTTCTTCTAAAATCTTTTGCCATATCACCAGCAGTGTTAATAAAATAAAATTAATTTTTATAACTATAGCACTATACATGTATGGCAATAAATTACATTTCTACGACAACTACATATTATAAACTAAAGAACTTTTATTGTTGCACACAATTTTTTCAATATTTTCGAACCATAAAACTCACAATAAAACAAAGACACTCATAACAATTCCATAATTTTGTACTTCTCAAAAATCAATTAAAACAAAATAAAATATTTATTGTTTTAAATTTATTCTCACCAACTACGACAATAAAATATTATGTGATATTTTTATAATATAAAAATATAAATTAATTAATTAGTTGCTGTTCTAAATTTTTAATGCTTTTGAACCTAAACCAAATTACCAATTAAACATGATATCAACTTCAATCACGCTAAAGCAGAAATGTAAAAACAAATATTTTTGCTTTTTTTTGCAAATAAAATTGTTGTTGCTTATTTTTTTATATTCACCTGGAAAAACTGGGATGTCAAAATGTTTTATTGTCATTACGGGTTAAAAATTATATAAGCACAAATGTATGTATATTATATTCGGATTACGATTATACCGGAAAATAGTATAGGAAATTATAAAAATTATAAAGATTTATAAAATTTATTAGTAGTTAAATATATAAGTAAAAGTAATTAAAATATTTTTTTATGTACATAAATTAAATAAAAATTAAGTAAAGCTATATATAGAAAATAGTTAAATATTTAGGTGTAATGTAATTATTTCATTTTACGATTGAAATGCGACATATTTTCGAAATAAATCTAACATCCTATTGAAAAAAAGCATGACCGCGTGTTCAAACTAATAGTAAAGTGTTAATAATTTTAGTGTAACGGCTGCACATAATCTAAGAAATCTAACTAACTAGTAATGTCAATCCACCAATTTGTCAGAATATTTTTGATCGTTACTAAGATTGTTTAATGACTTGAACTACTTTATTTCGTAAATTTATGATTTTTAAATGAAAATTGTAATGCATTTGGAGTTTATGTATTTTTATATATTTTGATCAATATCAAATGGAATTAATTTTAATATTTTCTTATATTGATATCTGACTTGTTTGATTATTTTATATATATTTACATTACAAATTTATGTTGGTAGATTAATTAAAATATAAAAAAAAGTAATAGTTTTAAAATCTGAAATATAATATCAAAATATAGTAAATGAACATGAATGGAAATTAAATTTTCGTATTAGAATTTTAACATGCTTACCAATTTCTCAATAATATTTGGTATGTAAGTTTATTAAGTCAAAAAATAATTGAGAATGAAGTTTTGTTAAATTAATTTTAAAGCAGATTATATAGAAAAATGAAGCTAAATTTGAAACATGTTTATGTATTCTATTTTATATGTTCGCAAATTGAAAGTAAGAATTTTTTAATTTTTTTTTGCTTTGTTCAATATGAAATATTGAAACATATGTGTATTTACAGTGGTGACCAATCGTAAATTTTTAAACATGTGAAGGACATAATTTTGAAGAGAAATAATTTTCCTTTTTAAAAGAACAAAATTATTTATACTCGTAAATAAGTTATAGGTCATTAAGTTCTATATTGAATTTTGAATGACATCACATCAATAATCATATTAATACAAGACGTGTTGAATATATAATAACTATAGTTAAGGCCAAAATGATCTTTTTTAAAATTAATGATTGAAAATACAAAAATTTTATCATTTAAAGATAATTTTCCGCTCAACTAGGTTCAATTGAATTTTATCCTTAATCCTACAACTGACCAATTTGATTAAAATCTGGTTAAATAAACTTGTGTCAAACCAATTGTTTGTATCGTAGCACTTTTCCCTTCAACAAGGGAAAAGTGAAAATTCTGCTTATAAAAACAATCTATATACTTATATCCACCACACTATTTAAATTATTTTCATTCATAAACGAAACTATTTCTAGGATTGCATATATTTAGGATGAACGATTTATTCAGTCTTTGAAATAAAGCAAAAATTAATACAAAGAGGGGTTAACATAATGCTCGATTTTAAGGGTTAATTGTGTTAGTTAAGGAAAATACTTATACTTTTTAATGTCATGGAATTTACCGTTAGCTTTTTGCGTTTATAGAAATTTGAAAAAACTTGCGATCTCGGAAATATAAGGTGTCAAAAATTCAAATTTTACAAATTTGAAGAGGCGATAACTCGAGAGGGGGTGGAGATGGAAAAAAAATTTTCTTCTAACGAAATGAAGCATTTATTAGTGCCTAAGAGCCCCTAAAATTTCAGGCTTCTACAGGCTGAGGTCTAGAAGAAAAACGACATCCAAGATTTGCAAAAATGGACTTTAGATAACGGCAAATTTGAAAAGCCATTTTGTTTTTCTAACTATAATTAACTATCAGAGCGTGACCTAAATAGTTTTTGTCTCGTAGTTTTTGGTTTTATTGCCTCAATTCAAGTTTTATGGAATCATTAAAATCATTAAAATTTCTATTGATATTTCGTTATACAGAATAAAATTTTTCATAATATATAACTTTTAAATAATAATTTGCTGCCTGTGAGTACTTTACACAGGCTCACTTTAAAAGTATGGTCATCCTAAATGAATACTATTCTGTCTATGCAGCCATATATATGCAAACATTATGACTATATGTTATGCAAATTAAGAAAGTATAAATAAATTAAACAAAAGTCTATTTTATTCATAAGCTTCTGTACATGTAAAAATAACCATAGCAATGTTACGAGTACAATTCAGTGACAATAATGCAACTGAATATTTTCATATACCCTTTTTCTATATTAGGATTCTGAATTTCAAAGATAAGTAAAAAGGATTTTCCTAATTCGCACTAATTATGTATTATAAATTACGTCTAAATGAGTATATGCATAATTTGAATGCTTGCTTCATTTTAATTTAATTCATTTCGGTTTTGTTTTTTTTTTTGTTTAATTCATTTAACATTTTAATAAGGGAAATTCATATAACGGACTATTTAAAAGAGGATTAAAAGATAAAATTAAAAAAAATTTTCAAGAATTTCATTAAATGAACACAGAATTATAGAACGAACAATATATTTCTTAATTAGAAAAAAAATTTATTTATTTTTTTTTAAAGCACCCGGAACTTTCTTTAAAAAAATTGTATTAAAATTATTTTCACACCAAATATTTTTGGCTATAAACAACAAAAAGTTACATAACGTTACACAAATAAAATATTGTTATTGGAATTGAAGTTTACGGTTAACTGGATTTGTATAAAAAATATGTTATCAGAAAATTTAAATTAACAGGCTTGAAAACATAAAGAAAATATTTTTAAATTACCCTTGTCATATAAATTCAATTGAACCTCTTTAAACCTTGAATTATCTATCTAAGTGAAAGATTAATTAATTATTTTAAATTCCTGTATTTACATATTTGTTTTAAGAAATATTTTAAGTTTTTTGTATTTTTTTTTTCATTTTTAATAGGAGGTTAATATTTTACACTTCTAGTTATGCCAATTTATATTAACAAATAAAATTACCAATATATTAATAGTGTACACTATAAAATTTCTATTAATTTTTAATTTTGCCTATTCATTCTTCTTTTACTTAGAACTATTACAGATATTTTGTTTCGTTTACGTCTTCCTATAGAAAGAAATTTTTGAAATTATTACGTAACATTACGTACTTAATAAGTAAAGATAGTCTGAAATATATTGTAATATTTCCAAATCCTTTAAAGGTCGCAATCGCAGGAAATACATGGGTCTTTTCATTTAGAATAATTTTCTGAATAAATATTAGGTACATATTATCAGAGATAATACCAGATGTTCAAAGTGAACCATGAAAAGTTGTTATTAAAATATTCGCTTCAAAAATTTTGGTTTCATTTCTTTTCATATACACATAGAAAATTACATCGAAAAAAGTTTAATAAAGGTTTTTAAATTAAACCATTAGGTTCCAAAACCTGGATAGGGATAAGAATCTCTGAATTAGTTAGATAAACACAATAATTTGAAAGCTAGATTTTGATCATTCTCTAATCATTTACAAAATGTGCTGCAAACTTATTGACTGGTATCATCAATTATCAATCATCAGAGCTTCTTAATTATTAGAAAATGAATAGCGATATTTGAATTAATTTTTTTTCTGTAATATGTCGATTCTGATTTCACTTATTTTCAACATTTTTTATTAATGAAAAGTCATTCCACAAATACTCCCTCTACATCGAAAGGATAGTAATTTAGTAAGGAAGACTAGGCACTCTTTGGTATCCATCGGGTTGCACAGATTCTCTTTGTCAAAACACTAGTATTAAAGAACGTTATTTATTACTAAAACTAATAACTATTAAATTTAGCATTTTATGAGTTAGCTGATATGTAAAGTTTTTAACTTTTTATTCAAATTCTTTGAAAATATTTTCAATTAATTTATAAATTTTTTATTTTGAATGATTGGATTTTTTTTAATGGTTTGAGTTTCAAATGAAGTTGAAATTCATTTTAAAATAATTAAAATCTTATGTTTTTTTTTACAAAAATGTTATAAAAAAGAAAAACGAACAAAAACTAAATTGCAAAAGAAAAAAACTTTTAAATTGAATAAAAAGCGATATTAAAAGTAACTGGTAGAAATGTTGAATTATAAACACCATAATTACGAAAAAACAATAAATTAAATATTTTTTAATCAAAATTACTTTTTCCTTATAATGAAAGCAAAAGCCCAACTGTCATTTACAGAAAAAATGAGACAAAAAAAATGAACATTTAAAAATTTTCTTATATTTTGATTTTTTTTTAATTACAACTATTCAACACGTAATTTGAGTTTAATATAAAAGACAAACACAATTAAAATAAAAGAAGGATTCGTAGATGCCAGAGTTATTCGACGGATTTCACTAATTCTGACAATTTCGCCATAAGTAAGTACACCATATTGGAATACCCAAGTACTACTCTGCATTTTAAGCATTTTGGGTTTAAAATAAATACACCAAAATATTTAAATTTGAAATTATGTACTTTTTCTTGTAGAAATTGTGTCAAATTTTGTTTTTATATTTGAATGAACTTCAAACGATTAAAAAAAGATTTAAGAAAACGAAAATTTTTGTCACTTAACTTTTAACAGATTTAAATACCAAAGAACGATAATAAACAAAGTACTTGTAAACCTAATAACACTTTGAATTTACTCTTTTTTTCTTATTAAAATTTAGCTAGAGGACTGGACAAGAAAATGTTTCTTGTATATATTTATATTCGTTATAAATTTTAAGAAATAAGAAAGCTTTTAGTCAACATATACATATCTGAAATCGTAAATTTGGCCGGTGGTATAAGTAGTTTTGTTTTCTGAAATCCAATTCTTTTTTAGTTAGTGTCGGGGGCTAACGTTTTCACTCAAACAGTCCTAATTTTTTTTGCACTAATAATTTAACCTATTACATTTTTAATATTTAATGTGTTTTCTAGACTTGTAATTTATAACATTTTACATTAAAAGTAATATATCTTGTTCGAAACGAAAATTTTGTAATTGTCTTCGTTCGTAATATTTAATGTTCAAGTTAATAGATCATTAAAATCATTAGCACATTGGCATTGTCCTTTATTAACAATTTAAAGCAACAATTAATTTAAAAAAAAAACACGAATTAAAACCAAAAACAAAAAATTGTAAAATAAAACAACGATTACGAAAAAATATACTTTTTTTGATTTTTCTATGAAAAATTTAAACAACAAACAAAATATTTTATAATTTTAAATTTTTAATTAAAAATTTTATACAGTCATGCATTAATTAGTTAATTTATAACTATAAGAGACTCCAAACCAATTTGACAAATCACAATATTTTCTTCAAAATCGTAATTTTTAGTTTCGTTTTTGTTAAATTTAAGAAATACGTAGTCAAAAAATAATGTCAAATTGGAATAGAATCTAGAATAATTTCTTTAAATCGTTTAAATAAGAACAGAAGATAATTTTAAATAAAAGAAACACAAAAATTTGTTTTTAAAATTTTTTTTGTAAGTTTTCACCTATGTATTTATTTTTAACTTTTAAATACAAAGAATCAACTTTCTTTTAAAAACACATGCTTTTTATTTTTTTTTAAATTCTCTTTATCTTAAAGAATCAATTATTTTATTTTACTAAAAGTTAAAATAAAACAATTAGGAATAACAATTCTTTTTTATATTTAACTGCCTTAATCATCTTCAATTTCATTTTGTCCTATGACTTAATTTATAATTAATAATAACAACCATCTTAGGAAACTTCATATGCATGATATGCGTCTCTATTTGAATAACATGCACTCGTCAGATTAAATTATGTTTATCTAATTTAATTTCTTACAATACATACCTATAGGTATATTTGGCTTTACAGATGCACTTTCGAATTTGTCAATTGTTTAATTACTTATTTCTGTTACTTTATTATTTGTATGAAAGCACATGTAATTTAATAACAACATGTAATCAGACAATCAAACAGTTTGAAAAAAACGGATAGCAATTTGCTTGTAAGTGCTCAAAATGAATTTAAAAACAAGCGGTAATTGCGTTTGTGTCCTAAGTCTTTCTTGTCAAATGGTATTTTATATTACTTTACTTTCTTGTTAAATAGTATTGACATTAGACTGTATTTCATAGGAAAAATAAAATATCAATTATATATTAGATTTTTTACTCAAAGTGATCTTGAGATCTTGATCTTGAGAGAATACTTAAAACTTTTTTAAGTGTTTTAGTAAAATGGTGTTTAATGTTATAGCCCGCATTACCAAATGAAATATAGTTAATTTTTACCTTAGAGAAATTTCAATTATTCACTTTTTAACTGAAAACTATCTTGTTTTCATCTCATGCGGAATTGGTGATGAAGCGAACATAGATTTTATTTAAAACAATTTCTTTTGCGTAGAATTATTAATGTTAGATTTAAATATTAGAAAATTACAAAACAAAAGTATTAAATTGTACAAAAGATTTACAAGAAATTATGCTTTATGCCAATTATCATTTTCTTAAGATGGTTGTTATTTACAGATACAGATAAATTTCCCTAAACGTCGAAGCAGAGTACATGTTGTTTGAATGCAGAAAAAAATTACAAAGAAGACAATTTAAATTATGAACTAATTATTTTTTCTCAATAGCCATTTATGAAGAAATGAAAATAAAGCACAAAATTTTGAGAATGAGTTTTTTTTCTAAGTTTTTAATAGATTAAATAAAAATGAAAAAGAAAATTTTATTTTATTCTGACGAAAAAGGGCAAAAGTTAATTCTTTGTTGTACAAAAATTTTCTATTAAAAAGAAACTATTCTTGCAGAAAGAAATTAATTTTAAACTTCACATTGCACAACGATAACAAGCTTTTACTTCTTGTTTTTTTCATTGTATATTGTTTTTTTAAATAGTAAAATTGTAAATTTTATTCAGAAACTAAGATTACAATCTGCTTCAACGAGGATACTTTTTTTTAAATGTAAAAGAATGTAGTGAAATAAAGTCAATCTCGGATTAAAAAAAAAAAAAATAATCAGAATACATTTAATAAATCAGCATAATTAATTATAATTCAATATATTAGGAATGAATTATGCCAAATTTCTGAAGAGCAAATTGAGTTAAAACTCTATGCAATTTTAATTTCAAAGTTTAATAGTTTAAGCTACAAAATAAAAGAATTCAATATAAAATTATAAAATTCATCGAGGCTTTTCGAGTTATTTTTATTTGACCATATATCATTTGACTTTATTTCACTTCACTTCCAAATGTACCACTACCTAACAATAAATTGAATAAAAATAAAATTAAGAATTTCAACTTAAAGTATGTGTGTCCATATATACTGCACATAAAATTTCATTTATATATTTAACGTATATATGCATACACACACAGACATTTGGATATATTTTTAGTTAATCACTATATTTTTTATAGTTTAAGTCCAGAAGGAAAAAAACCCAACAAAAGCAAAAGAATTTAACTTGGATATCTTACCTGTTTCAACAGTAAATCACTATTTGCTGAAAGGCATGTAACTAAATATTTTGTTAAATTAAGAAACGATCCAAGAACTTCTAGCGTTAAGTGTTCTCTAGACGATCGTTGCAACATAAATGAAATAACTAAAAATCCACGATTTTGTATCATATGTTGTTGAACAGTTTGTGATGTTTCAACTAGTTCACAAATAAATCCGAGAAGTTTAGAACTAAATTTGAAAGAAACAGAAAAAAAACGATTAAAAATTACAACAATTTAAATGAAAAAGTATTTTTGAAAACAAGAAAAATATTTAAATTATTTACGGAACAAAAAACTAAAAGAAAAACATACAATAATTTATGTAAATTAATGGAAAAAAATTCTTGAGTAACTTTTCTGAAATGTCAACATTAAAGTGGTCCAACATAATTATACCCTGCACCTTCGTGAATGGTATATGTATTAACTTGGGTATGGAGTTTGTAGGAGTCAGCTTGAAGGAGTCAGCTGCGGTATGGACGTATTCTTGCTCAGCGTAAAACTCTGCGTTGATTTAAACATGTCCGTCCGATCGCACGATAACTCAAAAACGAATAATGCAATCGACACCAAACTTACACAAGTTGTTTCTTTTGTACCAAGGACGAACACTATTGTAATTGGAATAATTCGACCAACGGGTTCGGGTGGCTGCCATACAACTCCAAAAGCAAATTTTAAGTATAATAACAAAATTAAATTATAATAATAAAGTTAGATTCGTAACACTTGGCAATCGAGTGCCCAATTATAGATCAAACATATCCGTGAAGTTTCTATAAAATAGTTTTAAAGGTCCAAGTAATTGTTATACAACAATGAAAGGTGCAGGATATAATTCAATCGATTTATACCGATTGAAACGTTGTAAAATTAACGAAATCAAGCATTAAAAATAAATTTCTGTCCCTTTTAAAACAATTTTCAAGGTATGTATTAATTTTGTTTATCGCGTATATTAATATTTATTAGATTATTGTGTGTTATCGCGTTTCGTACTTTATTGAAACTTCATATCTCACCTACTTTGTGATTGAACACTTTATAATCACTTGTCATTTGAACTTTCATTAAATTTTTATTTATTTTAAAAATGAAATTATTTAATTGGACCACACTTTTTCTAAAACATATCTACAATTTATTAATAAATTAATAAAAGAAGTTTTCAGCAAAAAAAAATTTTTTTTTTTTTTTATATATAAAAAAAAGGCAATTTATAAAATGAAAACATACCATAATGTTGGATCACGTTTCACATCATTACATCCGTCATAGGGCATATCTAATTGAGAAAATAGTGGAAATAAAACTTGAATTCCTCCGATTGAATTCAATGTACAATGTATAGAATGTGTAACAACAGCCTTAACGTCCTGCAAAAAAAAAACAATTCATTGAAAAAAGGAAACAAAAAATAAAATTAAATATTAAAGTTTTTAAGGGTTTAAAAAATGCAGATGAGATTTTTTTAATAAAAATGCAAAATAATGATGAAAAAATATATTTTCAATATCATACTATATGTTATTAAAACAGTAATAGTTCTTTGAAGCACAAAGAATTTTCAATCTTTTATTAAGATGATCTTTATTTCCTTCTGTTTCGTCCATATAATTAATTTATTATGAATTGAGATTTTTTAAGAAATTTCCAAATATTAAAACTTTTATTCTTTAAACAGAAGCTATTTTAAATACATAATTTAATATGTAACTATTTATAAAATTTTAGAAGATTAAGTTTCGGAACACTCCGAAATAGTGCATTTCAAAGAATTCCAAAAATGAAAATTCTAAATTCAATCTCTTACTTGTACATTTTATTCAAGACGTAAATTATTTAAATAAAGGGTAATTTCTAAAATTTTTGCATATCTTATTTATAATTTAAAAAAAAAATGAATCAACTTCACCTAAGTGTGGTTAATGCAAAAATACAGATTAATGTTCTTAGAAGCAATTCACTGTTGACAATACCCTCTTATTGGTATTTTTACAAAAAAAAAACACCAATCATAAACGTTTTTCTTTTTCCAAATAACAAAATTTTTCATACTTATTGAATATTTTATTTTAATTTAATAAAAAAATAATAAATACCTGTAACATAAGAGAATGCGGTGTATGTACAAAATATGAAACATTTCCTTTTGGTGCTGATTGTAAACAAAGTTGACCATCAGTCGCAACTGGATTATACATAAAAACTATTGCGTTTGATAATTTGCCATCATAAAGTACCTGTAAATAATTTTTTAAAATTTGTTTTAATTAAAATATCTCTAGACTAAAATTTGGTGAATTTTCAAATTTATTTATTTTTAATTCAAATTTGTATTTTACTTATTTATTTGTTTTTGCTTTCTTTTTGTTTTTCTTTTTCAATACTGAATATTTGAATATCTTATTTAGAACAACAGTTGTGTGCAAAGTTTGTTGCGAGGAAAATCGATTTTGCTTTTGGCGTATCAAAAATGATGGTAATTGCCACACTGATATATTAAATTGCAATTTAAATAAATTCAATCTATAACTGAAAACCATATAAAACCATCTTTTATATACCAAAAAATTAAATTAGAAACCAAAATTTATTAAATTTTTACAACGAAAAAATACAAAATAGAAATTAAAAGTTATTTATTTAAAAAAAAACTTTGAAGTGTATGGAAAATATAAGAGCAAAAGTAATAAAATTAATGAGAGGAATATTGTTATTCGTGGTATATACGACATAATAAATTGAAATATAAAAATTTAATGCTATCGCAGTTGCTTCAAATTTACCTTGAAAAGTAAAAACACTGCTACAAAAAAACTTTCGGAAACTTTATGCATGGTTGTGAAGAAAAATTAAAATGTTTCTACAAAGAAAATTGCTATAATATAAGTGAAAAGAAGAAACTAAAAAATTAAGAATAATATTTAAAAACTGGCATACAATGCATTATAGCTAAAATACAACTTTGTGTCATTTGTTCATGGTGATGATTTTTTGCGTATTTAAACTGTGCGCATTTAGTTGTACCGTTGTGTGACGAAACTTTTTCGCTCTATTATTAACAAAATTTTAATTTTTCCAAATCAATGACTTAAATTTGAAATCAATGTTTTCAAATTTATACTTACTCATTTTTTACCTAACATAGTAGATTATATATGGAACTGCTTTTTATTCATAAGAATGCCAAGATTTTGAAAAGAAAATGAAAAAAGAGAACATTCATTTAAATTATAAATTGCTCTCCTCAAAGTTTTTGAATTGTACCTCAAAGTTTTAAATTATTTAATACGAAAAGATTTAGTCGCCTGTTTAATGTGTGACTTTTGACTGTACAATTAAGAAAGCTAAAACTCATATAAAAGTTATCTGTTCAAGAGTCAATGATCACGAATTCTCTTTAACTGACTACAATCAAAATATACTTTTAATAGAAAGAAAACGCGTCCGACAGCTAATTTCACAAAAGTTTATTTGTACACTATTCGAATAAATTCTTATTCAAATACATTTTCACTCTTGACTCTCCGAATTCAAATAATCAAATTGTTGCAATCAATATTGTAATCCGTAAAATTTCTTTTGTTATTCTAAAATATGTGCAAAAGAATTCAATTAAAAATAAAAGCATATTTGAAATAAAATATAAATTTCGTTTTTGTTTGGAATTTTTAAATGTATATTGTTTTTTAAAACAATTACAATATTTTTACAAAAATAACTAAATTTTAAGATTTATTTTTAGTATTCTATCAGATAAAATAGAATTTTCGACAAATAAAATTTTACCCAACACTCTTATGTATAATTTTTGGAAACTTATACAGAATGACTCTCTTCATAACGTTCGTAACTAAAACTGCTCCCTAAAATTTTCTGAAAGACAAATTTGTTTAATTTTTGAAAATCAACTGAAAAAGATATTTTTTGAGAATGTGTTCATGCTTAAGTTCGGAAAATTAAATTCTTCTCTTGCACTTTTTCAATTCAGTTAGTGGATTATGTTAAAATGTTTAGTGGATTACAGTTACAAATTTGTACTCTTTACACAATTTAATTGTAGAATAGCATATTTCAGTTATTTTCCAATTTTTGCCAAAATATAAATACCTTTAACTTTTTTTTATTTAGAATTTAGAATTCTAATTACAAACATTCACCCTAATAAAAATTAAAGACGGTTTTTGGACTTAGCATGGTTTTTTCCTACACGACAAAAATATTTTGAAACAAGTGTTCATGCAAAACAATTTTTTTTTCACAATCTCAATCATGAATAACAGAAAAAAACGAGATTTTCTGCAAACAAAAAACTTACAAACTTTTAAAAAAAAAATTGTGACAAAAAGAAAAGTTCATTTCAAAAAACATTTAACAACAGATTTTATACACAAAGAGACGAAATTCAATGAGATCGACTATAACAATTCCTTTCAAATTTTTTTTTCTATTTGAAAAATTATTAAAAAATGTTGTTTTTTTCCACTTAATACAGGATTTACAAGGTCTTATCTGCTATAGAAACACGAATTTCAACCATTTAAAAATAAAAAACAAAAAACAAAGAAAAAATTTAGTTTAGTTCTCTATCTCTCTAATGAAAATACCCGAATAGATAAAAACTTTATGCAAATAATTCATCAAAAAATAAAGGATATAAAAAATAAATAATTTTTTTCGCATATCGTGAAAAGAATTTAAAGCAAAAATACAAATAACATTCTGAATACAACAAAAATATAATTAAAAAAAAAAGTGAAAGAAAACAAAAAATGAGGAAAAACTATTTTCTAGCACAAAAAAGAAGACTTACTAAAGAACAAACAGAAAAAAGTAAAGTGCGACGTTACAGCATCAGCATAGTATGATGCGATCACACTAATTAAAAACACACAACACTCCACAACATTTGTAATTTAAAATAAATTGAAAAAAAAAGCGAAAAGTGTTTATTTTTCATCTGCTAGTGAGATTCAAAATTACGTGATACTACAGCAAGAACTTTCATAAAAAAAAAAAGAATTAAATCTTTCCATGTTAGTTTCAATTTTGTTATTTACAAAATGTGAAAATTTTTGAATAAATGTGAAAATTTGGGAAGAGGGTAAAATGAAATATGAAATTTCTTTAGAGCACACTCCACAATTTTACAACAAACAAAGTAAATTAATTTAGTAGAAAAAGATTGTTGCAGTAGGATTCTTTTAATATGTAAAGAACAAAAATAAATTCCTGGATATGAATTATTTAAAAAAAAATAAATATTTTAAGTCGTTTACTTTTAATATGTACTGAAAAATTTAACATTTACACGAATTTCACATAAAAACATTTAAAGTGCTCATAAAATGACTAAAATGAACGGTAACTAATTAAATTACAAAATCAAGGCCAGTCTAACGAACACATCATTAATCAAAAGATATGGACATAAAAATTTACATGTGCAAAAGTCAATATGAATAGGTGACTTTTTTAAGAAATCGTTTTTAATTTAACAAGATCGAGTGATGTTACTAAGAATGTACCTGTTGACAAACAAAACTGTAATTGGAATCCACGTTTCCGTCATATTTAAGTTTAAATATTATGAGTTTAAATAATTTCTTTTACAAATGTTCCGAGCTTCTTTGGAAATAAATAAGATTAACATAAATGCTAAAATAATTAAGTTACAAAATTTACATTTTACATCAAATATTTTTTTGCAAAATAAATTCAAATCGTACACCTAAGACTGACTTTTTTAACGAGGTGACTTTATTTAATAATTATTTTACACTTAAGCAAAGAACAAGAAAAAGAAATAGGAACATTTTATTTAAAAACGAGAAAAAAAATAGAGTTGACCTTGTCAACTCTGTGATACCCGTACGAATTTGTTATCCTTTGCGCGAATAACTAATGTGCCATAACTAACTATGGGGCAGACTATGACTTTAAGTTGCCGTATTACCATATTAATTTATGCAAAATTTCAGTACTATGTGTTATTCAAAATACTGGTTGTGCCAAACTACTATTGATGTTGTATGGCACCTACCAGAAAGAGCCAAGAAATTTTAGCGAATTTTATCAAGCACATTGGCCCTACTAATATATTCGTTTGTGTGAAATTTCAATACCATAGCTTTAATAGTTTCTGAAATATAGTCAAATAACTTTTGAAGTTGTATGGCAGGTACCAGAACGAGCCAAGTAATTTCAACGACTTTTACGAGACACATCGGCCCTACTAATATATTCACTTGTGTGAAATCTCAACATCACAGCTTTAATAGTTTCTAAGATATAGCCAAATAACTTTTGAAGTTGTATGGCAGGTACCAGAAGGAGCCAAGTAATTTCAACGACTTTTATGTGACACATTGGCCCTACTAATATATTCGTTTGTGTGACATTTCAATATCACAGCTTTTATAGTTTCTGAGATATAGCCAAATAACTTTTGAAGTTGTATGGCAGGTACCAGAAGGAGCCAAGTAATTTCAACGACTTTTATGTGACACATTGGCCCTACTAATATATTCGTTTGTGTGAAATTTCAATACCATAACTTTTATAGTTTCTGAGATATAGCCAAATAAATTTTGAAGTTGTATGGCAGCTACCCGAACCGGTACCCCGATCATGTCCAATTTAAATAGGGTTCTGGCACTTACTACAATAAATCATTTGTGAAAATTTGGTGAACTTAGCTAAATTAGTTTTTGAGTTATCGTTCGGACGGACGGACGGACGGACGGACGGACAGACAAAGCTAAATCAACTCAGAATTTGACGCTGATCAAAAACATACACTTGAGTCTATATCTAACACCGTTATTTCTTAGCGTTACAAACGGTAAGGCAAATTTAGTATACCCTTCGAACATACGTTCGTACGGGTATAATGAACATGAAGTCTTTCAACATTTTTATTCAGCAAATTGATCTACGACAGTTGCTTTATATCGTTAATGAAAATTTTTATTAAAGCCGAAAGATTGGAGACACATAAGTATTAAGTCGGTCTGACAGACCGTCAGATCGACGAACCGACAGGTTGCTAAAAGTAGTTTATTTACACTTCCCTACTATGGATAAGTGCATTCCCACCGAAAACTCGATGGCAAAATTTGTTGCCATCACGTAACCTACCTATTGTTTACACAATACGGTCGGGTAAAAAGAAGAAAAGAAAAATTATTACGAAAAATACTGTTGATAAGGGAACAAATGGTGATCAATAACTTTTTATGAACAAAAATAAGTAAGTAGATAACTTTTACAGGTATAATCTGTTTAAATATTTGTACAATTTTTAATTCAAAGCAATAGAAAACTTACAAATTATTAAAATGGAAAATATTTTCAAAATGTACCAAACTTTGAATATGACGATAGAGTTTTGGCGGAAAAATTGATTTTCAAATCATTGGGACAGTATGCATATTTTCTTACATTTTTAAAAAACCCAACAACTTGTGCAACCCAAAATCACTCTGGCTTATATTTTAAATAACTGAATATCATATTTTACCTGTATTATTAATATATTGTCGCTATAGGGTCTATAATAAAATAAGAAATTTCATATACTGAATATGTTTAGTTTTGAATTTCGGTGCCAAAACTTCATTTTCGTAATAAGTTTTGCATTATTAATTATAAATATATTATTAAAATTTTTCTATGTGGCAGAATCGATCAGGAAACTGGAAAAGTGTTGTTTTAAGTTCGTAAATCGCGCTTTTTTTGAAAGCCACAAATTTATTGTTTCCAATATTTTTAGAATTATCAGAATGTGTGAAAGATATCATTTTGAAGAAAATAGAGAGAGGAACGAGTAACTGTTATCACTGCAGTTCGCGAATGTTTTTAAATATTTTTAAATATTCATAACTTTAAGTAAATTTTTTATAAGCGGTTATTATTGAATGAAAAGTTTCTGTAATTTCAAATATTTAATTTAAGTTCGCCCATGATCACGATCCTACACTCAGTATCAAATAAATGAATTTAACCACAAAAAAGTATCATTAACTTTAGTATTTACGCAATTTTAAAAAATAAATTTGCCATTAAAATATTTTACCAATTTACTTTTTTTTATTCCTTTTAAGACCATAACAATAAATTGTTTTTTTCTTTTTGTTTTGCTTCTAACATTTAAAAATCCGAAAAATTTAACTCTCATCTCATTTAAAATATCAGAAACAAAAATAGAAAGAGGAAAAAATTTACCCCACAATATTTCACGGTAAATTTTTTTCTACTAAATTTTATTCGAAATAAAACGCTTCTTAAATTTACGTATAATTTGAATAATAAAAAACGTTTATTTAACTTTTTTTTACAATTATTTTTGACATTATTTGTTATTATTTGAATTTTTGGTGAAATGTCATTTAACCCAAATCATAATAAAACTTTTAATTATTAAAATAAAACAATAGAAACCACAGAAAAAGTATACTCTAAAGTAAAAATTATTACCCTTAAGAATCTTAACGGTGAGAAGGCAGTGAGTGTAACAGAATAAAAAATAAAATTACAACGAAAAAACAAAACATTCAAAGTTTGCTCCAGCTAAATAAATTGTTCTGTGCTTTCAGTAAATTGTCTAGACTTTTTTCATCTTGAAAGAATTATTCATAATAATATAAACATTAAATAGAAATACATTACACTTCCATACATACATACATACATATACATACAATATATTGCATAAATATACAAATAAAACGATAATTACGCACGGGGCAAACAAATCCTTATTACAATATTCTTATCTTAATATTCTATTTTAGAAGAGTAATGGATCTGCTGACACATTCACGATTTTCTTTCTTTAATAATGAAGAAAAAATTACATAAGAAGATAAAAAATAAAATAAAATTTTTCTGCTTACTTCATTTTTTTACATATAGACACACACAAATGCTAACAAGAAGAGAAATGTAATCCTTTGTGTCTGCGACATTCCAAAATTGTTACAAATATATTTTATAAATTTTAAATTGAATTGCTTTCTACCTGGTATCACAAATCTAAAAAGACATAATGTGTACATGGTGTGATGATTTGAACTAAAATTATCGAGAATTATTGTCAGTCAAGACAATTGAAACTTGAAAAAGCGAAAATAGAAAAAGAGACAATCGACAAAAATATCACTAATCTGTTTTATATGAAGTTTTTACTAAACCTTCCTGATTCAGAAGATTTTTTTTAAATTTTGTCGACGATCCAAACTTTTAACAAATTAATGTTAAAAAAATTAAACAAAATCCTTTAACGGAAACAGTTTCTGGCTTAAATGCAAAATTTAGTTTATTACAATTTAATTTCAATTCGAAATTTATCTGTTTTGCAATTAATAACTTATTACAATCTTCATTATCTCTCGATGTAAAATTTTATCATATTTTTAAAGCAATTTCATAACAATAACAACAAGCGCTGAAAATAACAATGTAACCAAAATTACTGCTCTTCCATAATATAGTGTATAGAGATAGTATAATATAGTATAGCGTCGTTGCGTTCATGCATCTTGCTCAATGTGACGGAAATTTTATTGGACAGATGTCAAATATTATGTTTGAATGTTTGATGAACAAATAATTTGTTTGTTTTTAATTATTATTCAAGAAATAGAACTGCTTTCTTCCAGTACGAGTATTTATAACATTTTCAAACTTCATTTTAAGTATAATTTAAAAATTATCATGTGGTAATACACTAAAGTTTATAATTTCATGTAAAAAATGAAACCATAAATTCTAGCGTTTTTCGTGACAATATTTATAATTTAGACTGCTCTGCAGTTGTTTATAATTTCAATTTGTTTCTTTTTTATTCAGTTTATTACATACAAAAAATATTTAGTCATATCCCAGAGTATTTTATATTTCCGTCTTAACTAATAAAAGACAAAAAATTTTAATGAAAAAACTTTTTATAAAAAACATAAGTTTTTCTCAATATCAAATGAAGCTCGTTTGAAAGGAAGCTTGAATTTTTATTTTTTTCATTAAACTTTGCAAAATAATGAAAATTATACCATTAATAATTATTTTTCTCTTATTTTTCTTCTTTTTTTTTTTTGCAACCCTCTATAAAATACAATATGATAATGTGTTTTTAAAGTTCTTAACTTCAAACTTATGCACAATACAAGGGGAGAAAAATTCAATTTTAATTCAGTTGCTATACAGAAAATATAACAAAAGTGCTGCACTTTAAAATGCAAAAAAGCAAGATGCAGAAGAAAAGAGAAACGAGTTCTCGTTTATCAATTTTAGTTGTAAATTAATATAAGATTTGTTTTTTTGTTAAGTGTTAGGAAAGTAATTGAAGTTGGCGAATTTAACACGTTCTCTGAGAAAAAGAATATTAATTCAAAACAGTTTTAATTTATAAAAGAAAAGTTTCCCCCTCTTAATGTAAAAGAAAAAAAGAATTAATTTACTACTTCATTAAACTTTAAAAAAAACAAGTGACAAGAATTTTTTGTGTAAATTTTTTTCGTACTCTTTTTATGATACACAAAAGTTTAAAACTTTAAAAATCGAAAAAATTTGTAAAAAACTTTGTTGTTTTTTAAATTATAAATAAATTGTTACATAAGAATACTTAGATATTGAAAACATAGAGATAGAAACTGTTTCCATTCATAGAATTTTTAAAATTAATTGATTCAGTCTTATAGGAAGACTGTGAACTTATGATTTGGAAATGTGATCCTCTACTGTATATAAAGAATATTTAAACAATGAAGTTCTACTTTTAAGAACAAAATTCAACTTTGTCTTTATACAATTCGGACTTTAACTAGCTTATGGTATTCAACAAAATATTTTAAAAACAATTGTAATTGTGTTAAATTTAACATTTAAATAACTTTAATAACTTAATGGAATTACGATTGTGAATTTTAAAAATTATTTGGACATTTGAAAAAAATATTAGGATAAAAATTTTTGAAGGACGTGCTCCAATTCAAGAAAATTGCTTCAAAATTATAATCAAAGAATACAACGAAAATTTTTTGGCAATAACAAAAAAAATAATAAAAAAAAAACAAAAAGAAAACAGAAAACAAACTAATTAATATACTTTAACAATATTAAATTAAAAAAATATGAAAAAATAATTAATATAAAAAAAAAACAAATAAATTAAAAATATTAAAATACAAAATTAAAATGTGATTTCTTTCTTACGGCTTTCAATTGTGTAATATAATCGTTTTCCTCGCTGGTTTTATCAATAGTTGACGATAAAGCAGTTGAAATAGCAGCTGCTGTACCACCACTATTGCTATTACTACCACCACTAGCTGATGTTTGGCTTACAGCTGATGACATTCTACGTAACACTGGAACCGGACCAACACTTACAACAGTTGGAGCGACTTGTTTTATACCTAATTTTATTACATGTATGTTTAATACTTTATATAAACACTGTAAAACAACTAAAGATCTTAACGTTCTGTATATTTTCAACATATATTGATGGTTTAGTGTTGGGAAAAAAAGCAGCAGCATTTTCAATACAAAAAATATTTTTAAAATAGAAAAGCAAATTTTCGATTATTTTAATCGTAATGTAATTGTGTTTTGTATGAAAAAATTAAAGTAAAATTTTGTGATTTGACCAGAATTTTTAAGAAATGTTTGCTTTCTTTTAAGGGAGCTTCATTAATGCATAGTCAGCAATTAAATATTTTTAGTAGTTTAAGTATACTTTGTTCATCATATTCAAAATCTCAAGAATTGTTTTATGTTATTAATTTTTTGGTAAATGGAGATTTTTTATATTATTTAAAAAAGTTGAAAACTTTGGTTTTTTTTTTTAACAGTGCCAAAAGAACAAGGGAACCTTTTCACTGCTTTATTCTTATGAGAAGTAGTTTTGAATCAATATACAGTGAATTATACAGAAAGATGTTATAAAAATTTTGTTAAATATTAATACCAGAAGATGTCGCTATTCCATCTGCTACAGTATTTGTTCCAGCATTATTTTCGCTAATATCAATATTTATTGTTGAAGTGCTTGTGGTGCAAGCGTTCATAATTAAAGCATCTAATTCAGTAGCTGAATATTTTCTTAAACTCACCCGTTTATGATTGTCCGGTAAATTTAGATAGCACTCATTATCGAAACGAAACTGTGACTGATGGGGTGTTGGTAATTTTAAATTATAATTGATTTTTTTTTTTTGTAATTTTTTTTTATTTATTAATTTTTTTTTTTGTTTTGCAAATGAAAAAATTAAAATTTTAGCAAAAAAAAATAAAAAAAAAAATCGGACAATACACAATTTTTTTTTGTTTTAAAATTGCATTCAAATTTATTAAATAAATCAAAGAAATTATTTTAATATAAGAACATTTATGCATATACACATATATACATATAAAACGTGTAATTTAAAATTTGTATGCAATTTTTTAATTTTTATTTTTTTTTTTGAAATTTTTTTAAAATTAACAACACGGTAGATTAAGTTTTGTAAGTAGATGATCAAATTGTTTTTATTATATAATATTTTTGATTTTAAAAGTGCAGCGTGAAAAGATATTAAAAACAAAAAAAATGTAAAAAGAACATTAGAATTGAATTTTACTTTTTATAAAACAAATGAAAAAGAGTTCAAAATATTTATACTTTTCAATGTAAAATTAAAATGATTTTTCAAAAAGTTTTTTTTTTGAATAATTTTGTAAAAATTCCCAACTTTTCCGAAAACAACTTTATATTGAAAAATCATACAATTTTATTTTATTATACAAATAAACAGAAATATTGCAATTATGATATTGTATAAATTGAACAAAAAATCAATACGAAAATACGAAAATTCTTCTTACCGTTGTGAAAAAGGATTCTTCTAAAATAACTTAAAAATGTATTTGAGCAAAAAAAAGAACAAAATAAAATAATATTATAATAACCCGTTTCAATTAGGCAACCTTATAAATGAAAGTTAGTTCCGTATAACAAATAAGATTTTATTTGTCCTAATTTATCTCTTTTAATTGTTATATTATAAAAGTTATACATTAACTAATAATAAATACAAATATATTAACTTTCAATATAAAAGAATGGTTAGTGTATGAAAAATCCTGGTAAATAGTTGTTTAAAAGCCTGGCGATTAAACCAATATTTTTAGAATTCAAAATAATTATTTTAAGATTGTTCAATTTCTATACGAAACGGAGCTTTAGGTAAAGGCACCAGAAAAATTTTAATGAGTAAAGTTTCAAAATTTTTATTCGGTTCACGTTTTGACCAGAGATCCTCAAAAATTTTCAGTATTTATGAGAAAGTCTTTTATTATCCTTAAAACTAAACTTATTTGTTATTCGATACAATGAACAAAATAATGAAAATATTAGCTTTTATGACTATTATATTCGAACAATTAGGAGCATAGAAAAAAAGATACTAAAGTTTGTGATACTGAATATCGAATTTTGAAATTTTAGAAAAATACGAGTATTTCTTTTCGTTTAATCGTTTACATCTTGTCAAAGAGAAAACATTAAAAGTTTCAACATTTCTTTATTTAAGAAAATCTACAAATATATTCTTATTTTTTCAATTATGTGTTGAAGATTACGTTGAAATTTTCTAATATTATTAAATAATAAAAAAACAAACAAAGCAAAAATTTATATAACAAAAAAAAAATTGACTGAAATAAAATGACTCTTCCCCTTCAACTTAAAAATCAATTGAATCCTTTTCACTTACATTGTATATAAAAATTTTCGTATTTTTGATTTTATTTTATAATGTAAAAAAAAACAATTACTGTTAAAAAAAATTATAATTAAAATTTTTGAAATAAATTATTGACAAAATCATTTTAAAAATGGGTTATTCTGTACTAAATTTGTAATGAAATCCAGAAATTCAATAATTTCTAATCAAATACAAACCTTATATCCAGGACCTAATCGATGCATGGCACAAATTTGTTGAGTTGTCAAAGCTTCACTAAATAGATATATGGCTGACATTTGTCCACAAAAAACCCGTTCTTCATCGAGCTCTGGTGTTGCACCAATATAGCATTTATCGAATGGCTATTTTTGGAAAGTAAATAAAACAAATGATTCAATAGATTCAAAAATAAAAACAAAAATATTATTTTTCCACTATCTTTTTCATTATCACCCCCAAAATTACGCAACATATTTGAATAATTAAAATAATAATATGTACTTTTGTGTTTTTTTTTTTGTTCAACTATAATTTTTAATCAATCAAACCAATTAAAATAAATTTAATGTATAGCCAAAGATAGAGAAATATGCTTCCGTAGACAATTTTTTATTGTTTTTGCGTCAAGAAAATCTTCACGTCATTGTTGACTGTTTTAACAAGTTTTATTTGAAAATTTTAACTTACAAAAGTACGTATTTAACATTTTGAAAATAAATAAAACTGAAAAATGAAAATCAAAATTAAATGAAACAAGAAATAAAATTAAAGGGCAAATTGTTACGAGTTCAAACCAAAGATCTTATATTTTTTTGATTGATTAAAATAAAATTGACCTTTTTCAACAAATCAAAATGTTTTAGAATCGAAATAAAAAACATTTCTATCAATATAAAAAATTAAAACAGCTTAAAATCCTTAGTGTAACTTTAATATCCTAAGGAATTGCGACATTATACACTTATATAAATACTATAATTTTATAGGAAAGTTAAAAATTTTTTATTCAAATATTTATAGTTTTTATTTTTTCAAAATGCCAATGTAAAATATTATTACTTACGTCATTTGTCGAAACAAACCACGCCATTTCGGTACTAGACGCTAATTGTCCATTTACTAGGCACTTTATTTCGCTTTTAGTCCAACGATTATATATATACACTATCGCTATCATATACCACTATAAAAAAAACGGAAATTAAAATAATTTGAAATTCGTATATTTTATTATTATATAAATATAAAATAATATTTATATAATAAATAATTCTAGAATTCAATCAGATTTATATTTTTTACTTACTTTTCTAGGCTGGAATTCATATTTTACACAATGTTGAAAACCTTTCCCCTTCACCTTCATAGATGTTAGAACAAGGCAATTACCGACAAAATGTGCTGTATATCCAACACCTTTCGACGTTTTAAAACTGTTTAAAAATAAAAAGTGTATTTAAATTCTTAAAAACAGTTAAACTAAATTTTATTAAATACAAAATGTAGGTCAGGTTGGAACTTTATCCAGAAAAAACAGTGTTGTATGTTATTTTTATGAACATTATGCCCAAAAACAACACAGTTATTAATAATGGACAGAAAAGCGAAATAATTACAATTCTTTGTTCGAAAACATTCTTAAAATTGATGGAATTAGAAGTTACGTCGGCATAACTTTTGATTGAAATTTTAATCTTTACTTTTACTCATAATAAGCTCATACTTACCAATAAAGGTAGGGTTTCTCTCTTTCTATATTCACAGAATTAATTGGATCTAATCGGAACCACGTCGTAAATGTGAAACCATTTTCATATGGCCATTTGGCTAGAGGAGGGAGTACAATTGCCTGAAATGCAAATAAAAAGCAATATTTTCATTACATGTAAATATGTAAAATAATAATTTATGTATAGAAAAAATAAACATACATACATATATTATAATATACATTTTAATATAAATACAATTTTGTATAAACACATTTTAATATAATATATGTATGTATAAAATATACAATATATGTACACACAATATTTTAATTAATGTCAATTTTAATAAAATGTTAGCCAGAAGATCCTTATTTTAAGAAAGAAATTTGCTTACTATGCTTATAATAACGACAATAGTATTAAAATGACTTGAAATGCTTCAGAAAATTCTCTTTATGTATACGTCAAAATAATCTTTTTTCTGGTCTTATCTGTCGAGTAACTTGACAGCTTCAAAATATGATATGGGTAAATTTTGATTGTTTTTTTTCTTATTTTTGGACAATCTCATTAAATAACAATATTACACACGCATATAATATAAATTCGTCAGTATTAATTTATAGTTTTGAATTAAGATCTACATATACACACATACATACATATGTATATATTTAGATGACATATACAAAATTTCTTCAAATTCGGATAACTTGATCTTACGCATGCAGGTAATTTATTTAGTTTTTGATGCATAATTTCGCATATAAAATAATAATTTTGTAATATACTTCATATGTATCAGAAATCAGCCTCAGAATTGTGTTCTATTATATCATCACGTACACTTTATGAAATATTATACAAAATTCTTCAGAGAGTAAAATACAAAAATTGAAGTTTCATAATATTTATTCTTCTCATTAAAAGTTAGCAATTTAATTAACAATTAATATTAAAGATGAAGTTTATAATCTTCTTTTCCACCTTTATTACTCTTAATTCCTTTTGACTATATAAAGATGTTTTTGGCTTAAAGAAAAGTTAATCTATTTTTTTTTTTTTTTTACAGGTAAGCGATCAAAGTTTTAATGAAGCAATTAACATGTTTTAGTTAATTTTTCCACATTCTCCTTTTTTAAACAGTTTCTTTGTAGGCAACCTTTTGAAATTGAAATTTATTGATTTTTTTAATTATGTTTAGTCAATTACAAAATTTTTTATATTTTCATGTACAAAGCAAATATTAATATACATATGTAGGTATTTTTGATATTTTGAAATAAACATTTTTGTTTAGGTATACTAATATATCCGAACTATGTACCATATTTAATATTGACGGAGGAGTTTTGTTTTCAAATTGATGCTGCATTTCTGATAAGTGCTAACTTCTGAAACTCCAAAGGGAAACTTAGCATATTTTAGAAAATTTATTCGTTATAAAACTCAAAAAACTCCGAAATACAAAATATCAGAAAAAGTAGATATCTAGCAGGTGTTTATCTATAAGTTTGTGTCTTAAATAAATATTTCACATTTTTATAAATTTCAATAATAATTTCATAAATTTTATACTATTTTTTCAAAGTTTATTATATAATCAATTTAGTTTTAAGTAAATAAATACTGATACATACCTAAGTCTTGAAATATGTAAAAAATATTGTGTTTTTACGCACTAATTTGATTCACTTTTACAAAATACAGAGGGATTTTAATTAGTTATCAACAGAGCCCGGAAGTTCACGCATTTACAATGTTCAAAATATGCATGCATTTATGACCTAAAAAAACTAAAAAATATGGAAATTTGGAAAATTGAAAACTACAAAAAATTCTTTATTTTGCAATTTCAATTTTGCAAAAATTTTTTCGTAAACTTATTTCTTGAAACTTTAGTCCAAAAAGACATTTAGAAATATTTAAAAATATTTAAAAATATAGAAATGCAAAAATTTGATCAAATTTTTCTACAATTTGTCTCCCCTCTTTGCATAAAACTTGAGAAAACTTCTTTTTTGTTTGACAAATCAAACGATATCAGTTACGTCTAAATTTTGTTTTTGCAATTTGTCAACAACATCATAAATATTGAATTGCATTGAAATATATTTGACTCAAAATATTCTTTGCGCTTCTTTACTGAAACAACATCTTTATCTGGTTTTCCAAAAATATTTTGAAGAGTTGTAATATTTTTTTATCGAAATATGACGTCTAATGTCCATTTATATAAAATATGCAAAATAATCCAAAATAACCACAAAATATGCGAAATAACGAAATCAACGCCTTAATATGAAAAAAATATGCATTTATATGAAATTTCATATTAATAAGTTTCATTAACTTCCGGGCTCTGGTGATCAATTACCATTAATGAGTATTTTTTCTTGAAATACTTATCATATTCGAATACAATATTAAAAAAGTTCTTAAATAGTATTATGGAAAAATTTTAAAACCTAGAAAATTTCCTCTAGGATTTCATATTAGAAAACCTAGAAATGGTTTGCATAAATATGAACTCTAATAAGTCAAGTATTAACATAATTATTATAATAACTTGTGCACATGTAACCTATTACACTTCACTTAGGTACAGTTGACTTATTCAAATTCACATAATATGTGTACACACATGCAGTCCTCATTGCTAAGCTCATTATTTTAGGAAATAGACTTATATCAAAGGTTATCCGTAGAGGAATAATCAATTCAAACAGAAATCTTGGATTGCCCAGGCTCTTTACAAGTTTTCCTCTTAAAATACGTGATTTAAATGTACAACTGTATAAAATACATGTATGTTCATATAATATACACGAACATCCTTAATATGTAGATGACAAAATATTCAGAAATATATAACGTAGTAGATACATACTCGTATTTTCGTTTAAATGTGAAAATCTACATATAAATATTAAATTTTGTAGATTTCTGAATTTTCGCACTTAGGAAGTGAAATGGAAAACTATAATATTCACACATTTACAAAAATAATAAAATATACAAAAGTATGAAATGTGTTAAAATGATTAATTTTTTTCGAGGTGTAAAAACATTAATTTATTGTAACATGTTTCAAGGAGGTTTTTTTCATTTTCCACATTATTTTTCTTCATTTTCCTTCGCTTTAAACAAAAAAAAATACAACATTCTTGACGAGAAGAACAAAAGCAGAATATTTTTATAACAATTTTCATTTTTTTTTTTGGTTAAAATTTTTCCATTTATCATTTTTACAGAAAATTTTTTGCGGTTGACCAGGGAAATTTTCTTTTTTTTTTTATATTTTTTGTATTACTTTACTTTTTACGAAATTGTGAATAAAATCTAGAAAAAATTTTACTTAAAATGTAGAGTTTATGCCAATTTTCATTGTGTATTTCTTATTGTATAAAGCACTCTATTGGTGCACAAAATTTGTTTGTAGATCCATTTACGTGAACACATCTGACCACATATTTTATCATACGTGTGTGTATGTTATAAATTTGTTTTATTTCTTAAGTAAACCTCATTCATAGTGTTTTGCGTCTATGTTAAAGTTGGTTCTATTTTGTCTAGATATAAAAATAGTCTATATAGTAATCATTTACTAACAATTAAATGATTAAATTGAAAAGAATAGAAATAAATGTATAGAAAAAAAGGAAAACGTTGAAGGATGAAATGAAAACAATTTATATTTAATATAACATAAATGATATGGGCTGAATATAAATTTAGATTTATTTTCAATTTTCGTTTCCTGTAGATTTGCAAGTACAGACAACGGCATATGCCTATATTAAGTATATATACAAAATTTCGTTCCAAATTTCCCTTTAAGAAAATATAAGAAGGTAGAGATAGTTAACTAACAATGTGGTACAATGTGAAGAAAAGTAAAGGCATATGAAAATGAAAGTCTTAGATTTATTAATATTTTGAGTGCGTATAAAGTTGATAAAAAATATATTGTTGTTTTACTTATAAGAGAAAATGTGAAAATATTGAATTATTTCTTCGTTGGTTTCGAAACTTCTTCATCCATAAGGTAACCATAGGCAATATTATTATTAATTAATAATGTATATATGTGTTTAGATTGATAAAATATATAGAATAAAATTACCTCCTCTATATAAAAACTTAAATGTTATTCAAGTAGTTAAAGCAAAAGTATTTGATGTTTCATAATGTTGTGTGGGTTAAGTTTTTAAATTTAACAAAAATTTAGTAATTTTTACTTTTCTTCCAAACAAGCAGTATTTTTAAGGTTTTGACAGGTTTTTTAATTGTTAAAATATAAACACGCTTCCTACATCCTATAACATCTTATAGATCAGATTTAATAATAATACTGCCGAGCTGGAAATATGTATAACTGTTTAATCAATGCGTTTCAATGAAAAATTTTAAAACCTTTTTTTACTTATCTCATTAAATGAACTTTTTATATATTTTCCAATTCCCTCATAATATTATTTTTTATCACAATATAAAAAATTATGGAATTTAAGTACACCTACACATAATATACACATATTATGTAGGTGTACTTAAAAACTTTTAAATTTAGACGTTTTGCATCATATTAAAGATTAACTTTGTTCCTTACAGTTTTAATTATTTTTACATTAAATATTAAAAAATTAAAATTTCCAACTACACTAATTTACTTGTGTTTATTTTTATTTCTTTTAATTAATATGCATTTTAATATATACCTAGGTATATAATTTGTTAATACCAAAAAAGTAAGCACACTTTAATTTACCAGACTTGAACAAACATTAAAGTTTTCCTCAAAAAATAAATAATTAAAGTTAAACATGACAACTTTTCCAGTCGGAAAAAATTAAAAGCAAACAATTCGCAAATTAAATTAAAGTTTTCAAACTAACTTCTTCTTAAGGAATGTATGTTTTTTATTTCTTGTCAATTTTATGTGAAATTTTTATACTTTTTAAGTCTCGGAAACTTTAAGTTGCAATAATTTCCTCATTAGACGCTGTTTAAAATTGTATACCATAAGTAAGAAATTTTTAATACATTCCTATTAAGCCTTAATTATGTTTTGTGCCCCTATCCAAAAAAAAAAAAACAAATTTTTCATTGTAAATTAAAAATTAAATTTTTTTTC